CAGGTAAGGAGTGAAGGTTGCTTTCCTGGGAGGCAACAAAGAAAGAACCTCAAGACATTTGGAGGAGCCTCAAGAACCTGAGGAATTCACCCAAACCAATAGGTACCACAGGCAAATCCAGACAGCAACCATGTGGCTTGGCTTCTTAGCCCCAAGAGGCAAATTATAGTTCAATCTAGAGATTCCTTATGAGATTACAGCAAAGCAGATTATTCTTCTCATATTCATACAAATAGCAGGCCAAATTTATTAAAGCTGGACTTACACAATAAATTAGTCTTTACTTAGCAACCTTTGATAAATTGAGGGTGATTTTAGAGAAAAAACTATGGTTTCCATAAAAACCATAATGTTTAATTGTGGATATTAGGCTCCAGTTCAGTTCATTGTCTTTAAAATCTTATTTTCCACCTGTAGACTGGACTGGATCATACATTTTTTAAATAAAAGAGTTTGGCTGCAGACCTCTGAATTAGTGTTCATTTTCTCCCATCCTTTGCCTTTGAATTATTGAAAACTAAAACGGTTTCTGTTTTTTTCTGAGCCTTGCAATTTTAGACCCCAGCCAGAGGGCATAATGTCAGCTTTGGAGAAATCAGCACAACAGCTCATGCTTGGATGTTTCTGATGACTGATACAGTGTAAGCCCCCAGAGAGCTTGCCTGAGCACCTGGTGTCATCATCAGGGACATTCGGACTGAGGACCAGGAGAACCTGTCTGATTGTCATGGCCTGCCTTCATTCCAGAAAGAATGAAGCTCTGAGCCTTTCATGTAGAGGTCCTCTCTACTAACAGTCTTAAAGACTCAGAGACTAACTTATGGTTTGCTCTGATTATTACTTAGGGTACAGGTATCCTGGCCTACTGTTTTTTTTCTTTTTCCATTGCTGTAGTTTCTGTTTATAAATTAACACCTGGAATGCCCCCTCTAAGGCTCAGGCTCCATCTCAGAAGTGGCAGGCATGTCAGATTGTAAGAACCAGAAAAGAGGGGCATAATGGGCAGGCAAAGACGCTCTGTCTTATGAGCTAACCCTCCCTCTTGACTGAACCTGGGCCCAACTGCCCTATATTCCTCAAGATTGAGGAGTGGTCAAAAAAAAAGGAGGGAATTGTAACCATGCAGAAACTTAATTTTTTAAATATGACCTTTTTCCCTTTCTTTCCTTTTGATTCAAACTGGTCTCCAGCACCCGGACTTACCTATCTCTTTCTCCTTCGCATGTCCACCCCCATAATTACTCAGTCTTCAGGACAATGAGGCCCTGTACAACATTAAAGAAACTTAGGAACAAAGGGTCTATTAACCACAGAGACAGAGTTTTCAATGAAACTGTAGATAACATCTAAGCCTCAGCTGTGTTTCAACTTCAGATCAAAGAAAGAGAAAAAAAGCCCTACTAAGTGAGGCCATAGCTGACAACAGGACAAGATACATTGATCAGATACCCCCTACTTTAGCACCAATCAGCAGAGGCCACAACCCTGGCCATGACCCCAACTCCCTTAGCCGCCAGGATTAGTGATTTTACCCCATATAGATAACCCGTGCCCTTAGAGCCATCAGCAGCCAGGTCTTTGGGCGCTACTATCTCACCTGTGACTCCAGGCATGATGTCATCTCCTCAACTAATAGACCTTTACATTTTTGGCCACACACAAAAAAAAGATTAAAATGATCAGTTTGTTCTTTATTTCAATGTCTCTGGTTATATTTTGCATGCTTATTTGTTTTGTCGATTAGGTTCCACTTATAAGTGAGATCATATGGCATTTCTCTTTCACTGCCTGGCTTATTTCTCTTAGCATAATGCTCTCCAGTTCCATCTATGCTGTCACGAAAGGTAGGAGCTCCTTCTTTCTTTCTGCTGCACAGAATTCCATTGTGTAAATGTACCCTAGTTTTTTGAGAGGAGAGGTGGGAGGAGATAATATGGGGGGAAGGGGGAAGGAACTTGTATAAAGGACACATGGACAAAACCAAAGGGGGTAGGATCGAGGGTGGGAGGTGGGGATGGCTGGGATGGGGGGGAGTGGAGACAACTATACTTGAACAACAATAAAAAAAAAGAGAGAGAAATATGAAAAAATAAAATTAAACAAAACAATAAAAAAGAGTTAAATTAAATTAAAAATTCAGTTCTTTTAGTATATTTCAAGAGCTAATAGCCACGTGTGGCTATTGCCTATTACATTGTACAGCACCACATATGGAAAATTTTCATCATCACAGAAAGTTCTGTTAGACAGCAGAGGTGGACATAGAAAAGATATTCTAGAGAAAGAGGCAGTTAGAGAAAGAAGCATCAAAAGAGAATCTAAGAACCAATGTTAAAGGTGTTATTGTAGGAAACAGAACAAAGTAACACAAGATCCAGAAAAAAGCGATGTCATGGGATCCAAGGCATCAGAAATTTTCTTTTTCTTTTGTTTTGTTTATTTATTTATTCTTTTTAAAAATTGTTAGGCTTCAGAACTTTTCAAGGAGGGAGTGTTCACATCAAATATCACAGAGAAGGAGCTAGAACCAAGTGACAAGTAAGAGGCCATTGGAGAGTTTAGCAAGACAGTTTTAATGCACCTGGAAGCCAGATCGTGGTGGTGGAAGGGAGACTGGTGGGGCGATACAAAGCAGAGCATATGCGGCAGGGCTCTCAGTTCCAAGGGGGATTTCCATTAAGTGAGAGAGCAGTTAACCATTGCTATATAAAGAGAAATAAAACGGATTAACCTCAGCTTGGGTCCTCAGCAAATGACTCACACAGAAAGTGGTGTTTGGATTTCAGATAAGGAGTTAGCAAATAACTTGTGGAGAAGGGTTTGCCAAGTGGAAAGAAGTGCACAGGCAGTGGTGAGGTGAGCGGTGCAGGAAATGGAGCATCAAGGCTTGGGGTCATCCTGCCCAGATTGTGGAGTTGCATTCACAGGGACAGGGAAGCATGAAATATTCTTGCTTCCCTGAATAGAGGAACAAGATCAAGGTTGAACCTCACAAAGGTTCATGGCAGATCACAAAAGATGAGGGAGTTCCCCAAGAGGGTAGAGAGACCCCTTGTGGAATTTGGAGCATGAAAGAATGAAGTTAGAAATTGCCGGCAAATCTGAATTTAGCTGTGGAGAGTACATTTCCTTCTACCTGTGCCCTCAGGTTTAAAGCCTAGACAAGCCAGAGGGCCCCAGGGGTCTCAAGTGGTATGGCCAGTGAAGATCTGCCCCCTGCAGATCCTGCCTGCAGAAAGAGGCCAGAAGGCTCAGACACACAGCCACCCCTTTTCTGGGCTGAGAAAGGCTGCTAGTGGTGGGATGGATGGAGTTTCTCTGACCCTAAGAAAGTAACCCCACAGGTTATCTCCACCCCATCAGCGGGATTTCTGAGAATAGATATGATGTGGAGTAAAGCACAGGGTGCAGCATATCCCCTCCCCCACACAAACACCCTGAAAAGATTGAGAAGGTCCCTGAGGTGTCAAATCCAAAATAGAAAAGATTTCCCACCACCTCCTCATTTCTCAGGACTCTGGCTGCAGAGAGCAATGACAGATTTTGAAGGGGCAAGGCTTCTCTTGGGCGTCAGTGAGGGAAACCTCAAGGTTTGAAGGAGACTGGGGGGGCGAAATTACCCTTGAGACTTACCCTGATTTTTTGTCTCTCTCCCCCTCATTTCTTTGAGTGTCTCAGACTACAAGAGGGGTATCTAATATAGATTTTGACACTTTGGTTTGCAGTAGCTGCTTCTATCTTGAAAATCCCAGCAGCCCCCTTCATTTCTTTCCCTCAGGGACTCAGATAACCCCTCTATCCACCCCCCAGACTCCTCAGAGACCCCTCTCCTCCAAGTTCTCACCCCTTGTAGATACCCCAACCCTGCCTGTTTCTTGATAGCTCTGGCTTTTATCCAGTCTCCTGTTTACTCAACTTCATTTTCCTGGTTGACTTTGGGTCCCAGTCAACTCTCAGCCTTTATCTCTCTCTCTGGGAACCTGCCCTGGGTAGGGGGTATCAGAACCCCCACCCAACATGGCCACCCTGAGGTCCAGGTCTTGGTGATAAGAGAGGAGGGGTCCTGGGGCAGCAGCTGCTTGGTGTTGTCTAAGAGGACACCCAGGCTTTGCAGCTGTTGTTTCCAAGGGAGACTCCCCAGCAAACAGTGAGTCCCAAAGTCAGGAGGAGGGGAGCAGGGCGTGGGTCAGGTCAGCTCCCCGGAGGAGAAGATTCCATCTGAGAAAGCCCATGCCACCTTTCAATGGTCTCTTCTCCCTGTGTGCGACCTAGACCCATCTCCCATCCCAGGCAGGTTCTGGGGTGATGGGGGGCATAGAGTCACTCAAAATCTGCTCAGCCAGTCCCTTTTCAGGGCCAGAAAACCTCCCAGAAAACAAATAATTCTCCAGGAAGTAGAACCCAGTGTCTGCGTGGAACCAGGAAACAGAGGCCTCTGTCTTTCTTTGCACACAGCCCCAGCCCCCAGTTTCCACACACAGGAGCCTGCCTCTCCCCTACAGTCCTTTAGTTTACAGTGCGTCCTCTGAAAGATAAATAAGCCCAGTGAGGTTAGTTTTACCGATTCCATTTCACAGCCAAGTTCCCCAGGAGTCCCTATGGGATAGGGGTCAGGGAGGGTGGAGGTATTACATCTCACTCCACAGGCCTAAGTAGGGTGCTCAGGTACCTCCCTATCTCAGACACTGCACCCTACCCCCTAGTGGTGCCTGGAAACAGGATGTGGGTGGCTGGGGAAGAGGGATCAGCTTATAGGGACTGGGGAGCAGCCAGCACCCGGATGCAGGTCCTTTGCAATTGTTGCTGGCAGGAGCCAAAAGAAAAATCTGCAGGCAGCTTCTGTTCAGCAAACAAGATCAAATACCATCTTCCGCCCTACTCCCCAGCCCCCAAGGACCCAGGGTCTGAGGACCCTGCTCCCCAGCTGTCTCCCTCAGGGACACCACCCTTCTAGGACTGAAGTTCCCAGCACGATCCCAGGGCACAGTCACCAGCTGTTCTCATTCCCTCAGGACCCAGGCACCCAGGCTTGCTCTCTACCCTTCACCCTTCACAGGTCTTCAGGGTCCCCATTCCTCCTGGCCCTGCGATCAGCAGCCTCCTCCAGGAAGTTGGAACCATCTGCCTGGCATGGGGCCCAGGGTGTGGCCTAAGGAGCCAAAAAAACTCCATTATATAGCCCAGCCCAGGGGCTAACCCTGGAGCTCCAGGGACCTGCAGGTGAGAGAAACTGGGTTCCCTTTGGAAGTGGGACATCAGATCCCCTACTCTTGCCCCTGACTCCAGGCCTCCCCACCCTACCCTTGGACCCAATGGGCATCCAACTCTCCATCTTTGCTCCTTTCGTGCCGTCCCCACCCCATCCCCAGACCCACTGGATATCCAACTACCCTATGCACACATACACTGGCCCTCGATCCAGACCACCATCGCCTTCCTGCTGCCCAGGTGGTCATTGTCCTGAGACTGGGCCCTTTTGTCCTCTGGGACAGTCTCCGGCAGGAGGGGCAGACCAGCCTCCCATGACCCTCTCTGTTTCCCCACTTGCAGACATGGGTTTCCTGTGGAGCTGGTGGACTCTCTGGGCTGGAGCAACCCTCCTGTGGGGTAAGTAAGACCAAGATCTCATCTATCTCCTTGTTCTAGTCTGGGAACTCTGCCTGCCTTTGTCAGCACCATCTTTTGCGCCCCCTTCCACAAACCCCTCTCCCAATGTCACCCCAGGCTAGCTGCAATGGCAGAGAGGCCCCTTGGGCTCTCCAGAGAAGCATGGTGGAATTCAGGTGAACGCCTTATCCTCACATTCAAGATGCAAAAACTACCACTCGTTGATTTTCTGCAACTCAGCAAAAGTTTGGATCCTAACCTTCATTCTGCTGAGTTGGTGGAAAATTTCACTAAAGTTATTATTGGAGGGCTTGGCATCCAGTTCTTCAGGGTTATGTCCAGGGTCTTAGGTAAAGCCGAGGGACTAGGGAAAGGATGGGACACCAGGGAGGGTCACCTGATCCCTTGGCCCCGTAGGACACTAGGATCCCTTTCAAGGCTCCCCTTGTTCGGCAGACACTCCTATAACTCCCACACTCTCCCCAAGAGCCTGTAACTTCTCTCCCTCTCACTCTCTCCCTCCCTTTTCCCCTTCCCCTCCCCGCCTCTCTTCTGGAGAATCTCTTCCCATTTGAGGGTGTTGAAAAGTACCTACTGCTCTCTGTTTCTTGGAGACATTTTGTCCACACTACCATAATCCCCTCTTTCCCTTTACCCACTTCACACTGTCCCCCTCCCCCAATTCTATTAAGACAGAAACCACAAATTGGCAACTGAATCCAGCCACTTTGGGCTCCATAGTGCTTAAAACAATTTTGGGTTGGAAATTTCACATGGAAATTGAGACAGCCAGTTTCTCTTGAAAAATGGTAAGATCTGGCACAAAAAAGGGAAATAAGAACCAATAAGTGATCAAAATAACAACAGGCTAAAGCTAGTAGCAATGCCCCACTTTCAATGGTGTATGAATATTCTGTTTTTACAATCACTACCCGAATTCTTTCCTATTGCCTGGCCCTGTCAGCATTCAAGTTTAAAATCCCTGTCCGAAGCACTCAGGCCTTTGGAAGACAAAAGTCAGAAAGGCTGGTAGGTGAGGACTGCACAAAAAAAGGAGAAATGAAAGAGAAGAGAGGGGGGGAAACTCAAGTTAATATTTAATACATTATCCAGGCCCAGGGCAGGGGGTTACTTCTCTGATGGATAAGTGGACCCACTAGCGCATTTTTCCACTTAAGCATTGACCCAGGAGGCCTCAGCAGACCCCAGCAACACTGGAGGGGAAGAATTCCTCACAGCCTTCCTGCAAAACGACCAGCCAGGGATCAAGAACCGCTTCCACCTCCACCTCCTCCTCTCCAGTCTGTCAAACAGCACTGCCTCGGTCTCCATTCTCAGCCAGGCAGACAACACTTCACAGGATGTCACAGTGAAGCCTGGGCAGTCAGTCACGGTCAGCATCAGCACCGAGGCTGAGATGATCGGCAGCAACATCTTCCAGCATGCAGTGGTAGTCAAATCTGACCACACCATCTCAGTGCAGGCCATAAACACTAAGCCCAACACAGGGGAGGTGACGCTGCTGCGGCCTGTCTGGGCCCTGGGAACTGAGTACTTTGTGTTCACAACCTCTAGCCGTTCAATCAAGAATGTCAAGGAGTTTGCTGTAGTGGCTGGTGCATCAGGTGCCTCCATCAGTGTGCAGCTGAAGGGGGCAGTGACATTCCAGGGCAAGATCTACCCAGCTGGCAGTGTCCTTAGTGTGACTCTGAAGGCCTACCAGGTAGCCCAGGTACAGAGCGAGGCTGATCTCTCAGGGTCAAAGGTCACAGCCAGTAGCCCCGTGGCTGTTCTCTCTGGCCACACCTGTGCCTCGAAACACACAAGCTGCAACCATGTGGTGGAACAGCTGCTACCCACGTCTGCCTGGGGCACCCGCTATGTGGTGCCCCCTCTGGCCTCCCAGGTCCGCTTCGATCTGGCCTATGTCATGGCCAGCCAGGCCACGAAGCTGACCTACTACCATGGGAGCATCAGTAACGTCAGAATGCTCCAAGAGGGTGATGTGATTGAGTTTGAGGTACGGCCATCCCAGCCACTCTACCTGTCTGCAGATGTGGGTATCCAAGTCCTGCTGTTTGGGGCAGGTGGCAATAGGGACAAAATGACCTATGATACCTACCTGGTCCTGATCCCGGATGTGGCAGCCTACTGCTCTGCCTATGTGGTCAGTAGCATCCCAGGCTCTAAGGGTGTGGCCGTGATGGTGGCACCAACAAAGGCTGCTGATGAGTTGACCATGGATGGGCGCAGGATGGGACCAAGGCTCACCTGGGTAGAAGTACCAGGCAGTGAGTTCTCGTATGCCGAAGTGGACCTCAACACTACTAACTTGATCCACGTGAACATGGCCACTACTGACTTCGGACTGCTCACCTTAGGGCTGGTCCAGTCTGGGGGATATGGGACAGCAGCGGCCTGCATCCAGTGTGAGTAATAGGAAATGATACCTGGCCCTATCTACTAGGTGTCCCCTTTGTGGGCTCTCTTGCCGTTCTCCTTTCCCCACCCACCTGCTCCTCTGTGGCTTCTGGCTCGACTGGGCTGTTTTCTTCACCACCACCTCCAGCCTCCTTGCCATCCATCCTTCCTTTCTTCAAGGCTTCCCAGACCCCACTACTTGCACTCCCCTCCCCACCCCAGGAACAAAACTCTAAATGTTTAACAATGGTTGTGACCCAGGGTCCCAATTAGTCAGAAGAGATAGCAGAGCATGAAGTGGCATTCTAGAAGCCCCTGCGGTACCTGGCATCAGCACTTTGTTACTTTTGGGGAGATGTGGGGGAAGGATCCTAGGGGAGAGCCAATGTGCCGAAAGCAGGAATCTTTGGGTAGGGTTGAGTCAGCAGTTTTCTACCAATATTTTTGGAAATATGTTGATATTTTAGCAATTGATACACAACTATACCAGTTGCTAACTGCGGCTCTCTCACAACTGATATTGTAATGTTTATGCCCAAACTCAGGAGGTCTAAAAGTATAATAATAATGATGTCTACCATGCTAGAGGAGTTATCCCTCAGTACAACAGAGACCATTCTAGGTGTCTCGTACATGCTAACATAGCTCATCTCCAGGACCTGGCCCTATGTGTAATCTCAGGCTTAGCACATTGAGAAGCTGGCCCCGGCAAGGCAGTGTTTGAGGGCACAGATGTGAAAGCCGGATTTCTGGGGTTCAAGTCCTACTTCTGCTTGTGTGACCTGAGGCATGTGACTTTACCTCTGTGGGCCTCGGTCTCCACTCCTGTAAAATGAGGATAATAAACTTCACCTTCATAGGTATAATGAGTAAACATTTGTAAAGCACTCGGGAGGTACCGGGCAAATGAGCAGGGCCAAGCTGCTATCACAAACAGACAGAAGGCAAGAGCTGCTGAAAACTAGGAAGCAGAGGAGGAGGGACTGTTTCTCCTTATTTGGAACCCCCTCTCCACCCCTTCAAGCTAGGACCTTAGACACTGGGGTTCCCAGAACTGGCAAAAGTACCCCTCCCACCGCTCCTCTCCAGGGCATAAAAGCCACTCCACTTCAGGGGGTCACTTTGGGCTTGAATAGTAGAGTGGGGAATACCTGGGGGCGTCCCAAACCTGGCAGCAGTTCCTCTCCAAATATCTCTGTGAAGGAGGTGTTGTTGTCACCCCCACGTTGCCAATGAGGAAACCGAGGCACAGAGAGTTTAACATTCCCTGTCCACTGCCACACAGCTGATTGGTTGAGCCAGGATTCTAACCCCAGCAACCTGACTCCACCACCATTTCCATTCTGTTGAACAATCTCCGTCTTCCGTCTTTTGCCCTAAGATGACTCAGTGTTTTGACCTGCGTAAGAAGGTATGAGAGAGGGAGAAACTGGGAGAGGAAATTAACAGCTTAAGATTGCCATGATTATTCCTGATGGTCCTTCTACACTACTTTCCAGTCCTTCTGGGCTGAGCTGGGGAATCAGGAAGCCTGGGCTCCAGCCACGCCTGAGCAGCTCTCCCCCTGTGAGACTCCAGACCTCAGTTTCCCCACTTCCAAAATGGGTAGTTGTGAGCAAACTGCCCAAACTCTGCAGCCGCATTGCTCCAGGATTCCCACTCACATGGACGCATTCCTAACTGCTTATCTCTCACCGCCCCTCTTCCCTCCCCAGCCCAGGGATCTGCGGAGAAGCCTTCCTGCCGAGGTGTGCAGTGCACTTCCTCCGAGCTCTGCCAAGTGGTGGATGAGCAGGCCAGGTGCGTGCCAAGATCCGTGGCCACCTGCCGAGCCCAGGGTGACCCCCATTACACCACCTTCGATGGCCGTCGCTATGACATGATGGGCACATGCTCATATACAATGGTGGAGCTGAACAGTGAGGACCAGACCCTGCCAGCCTTCAGCGTAGAAGCCAAAAATGAGCACCGGGGCAGCCGCCGCGTCTCTTATGTGGGCTTTGTCACCGTGCGTGCCTACAGCCACTTTGTGTCGCTGGCCCGTGGGGAAGTTGGCTTCGCCCGGGTAAGTGTCCAGAGTCTTTAGAATTTAATGCCCATCAGTTAGAAGGAAGACACAAAGCCTGGGTATCAGGCCCCCAACCTGAGCTCTTCATCATGGGTGGACGGTGCCAGAAGCAGACCCAGGGAGTGGGGTCTGGAAAAAAGGAATTTGAAAATCCAGGGCAGAATCTTAAATTCCTTTTGTGCAGCAGTTGTACTGTACTTCTAAAAATGTTAAAGGTGCTCAGAGATATGGGTAGGGAAAAGGTTCATGCCAATGTGGTTTGTAATGGCAAAAACAAAACAAAAGAAAATAAAGGGAGAAAAAAAAGAACAAATTGTCCAAAAATGGGGAATTTCTTAAGTGACCAAACACTAAATTTAGTGAGCATCTACTATATGCCAGATTCGTTTCTTAACATTTTTTAGGTATCAATGCACTTAATTTTCACAGCAATCTGTGGGGCAGGTATTATTATTATTATTGTTATTATTATTATTAAACACTTTCAGATGAGGAAACTGAAGTCCAGAAAAAGGTGTAACTTCTAACAGGCTTCAAGCTATAAGCAATGGAGCTGGGAACACAGGCAGGGTGGCTCCTGAATCCCAGTTCTTAACCTCTAGGTACCTCTGCCTCTGGAAAATGGGTTGCTACTCAGTCAATACAGTAAGAGCCTAGAGCAATTATTCCCTTTTCCTCACTATGTTATTATGAAAATGTCCAAACATCTGAAAAGTTGAAATCACTGTGCAGTGAACACTCTTATGCCAATCACCTAGATTCTAAATATTGCACTGTTCCTGATTTATCCCACTTGCACTATCTGCTCATCCCTCTGCTCATTCAACAATTCATCTTATTTTTTTAAGCACTAGAGTAAGTTCCAGATACCAGTGTATTTCACCCCTACAGACTTCGACATCCATATCATAACAGAGATACAATATTTTGCACTTCTTATTGCTTACTTTTGAAATAAAATTTACACATAATAAAATCCACAAACCTTAACTGTACAGTTCACAGATTTTTGACAAATGTGAAACCCAAACCTGCATTAAGACACAGGATACTTTCGTCACTGTGGATAATTCCTCCACGTCCCTTCCCTGACAATCCCCGACCCACCCTGCATGCAAGCGCAGTTCTGCTTTTTTCCCACCACAGATTAGTTTTGCCTGTTCAAGAACTTCATATTAATGGAATCATCGAGTATAAGAATCCTTTTGTGTAAGTCTTCATTTGTTCAGCATAATACTTTGGAGGTTCTTCCATGTTGCTGCAACTGATTTTTTTAAAATAAGGGACATCTTCACTTAGCTCCAAACAAAGAAGGCATGTTGTGAGGGAGGGGTCTTGTTTCTAGCCTCTCCTCATCTAACCTTCCTCCACTCCCCACAGGTGAGGGCTTTTCGTAATGCCTTGAGTGTTCATAAAGGGTTTCTTTATGCAAATATGAGCAACCACAAACATACACCCTTACCTCTCCCTTTTCTTAGCAAAGTGCCCTGTACTGTATGCTCTGGTTTGCACTGCACCCTCTGCACTGAACCATGCATTCTGGAGCTGCTTGCAAATCAATGGATAAGGAGCCTTCCCTTCTTTCTTGTAGCTGCACCCTTCTCCATTGCATGGGCACATCACAGTTCGTTTCACTCAGTCCCCCATGGATGGACACTTCGTTCTCGAAGGCAAACAAAACTGCAGTGAAGATTCTGATACTTCCCTCATGTTGTGAGTGCGCAGGTGGATCTGTGAACTTCACAGCCGAGCGCATTCAAGTTGATGTTCTTGAGGTCGAGAGGGATTGAGCACAGACTCAGGGGACTTCGAATCCTTGAGATTACACGCAGAATTTTGCACATGTTGTGCCATTATTCAGGGAGCATGTGCCTCACTTTTGTCGATGACTTGACAAAGGTTTAGAGCTTCTGGTGGAATCGTGGCAGGATGTCCACAGGGTGTTGTCAGGAGAGCAGAGGATTTCGTGAAATGATGATATCAGCATGGTCTTATTATTTAAATATCAATGTATTTAAAGATAGAAGAAAAATCTGGCAAGATTTATAAATGTGCATGAGTGTGTGTTTACAGCAATATGGGTGGTTCATCTTTTCTCAGCTTATACACATTTTGTAAGTTTTCCGTAATGAACAAATATTACTTGTACCATTTAAAAATGGAGATCACTACTCCAGGGGAGAGATGGACTTGAAGAGTGGTCCCTGGACTGGGAGCCTGTACGTGTGGGGCCTCAGGCTGTCTTGGTCACTGTTGTGTCCACAGCACTGCCTGGTGCAGACTTGGACACACAGTAGGGCTCATGGAGGCCTTGCTGACGGACTGACTGACTGACTGACTGACTGATCTAGCATAACTTCAGACAATCTCACAGGCTGTTTACTCTGTATGTTACTCCATTTTCATACTCCATCCTCTTGGCTAAGATGAATTTGTGTATAGAAAGAATAAAAAAGAGATGCTCAGGAAGAGGAAATGGGTCCAGGGAACAGAGACATACTCTTTATCTTCTGGCTGGACCCTCTCTCTACTGGGACATTTGTAAAAAAAACACCCTTCCCTGTCCCTATTTTCATGATTCTTCCTTACTGATCTTTTACAGCTCAGCTCAGTTGCCACTTCCTCCAGGAAGCCTCCCCTCACCGGCAAGTTTGGGTCTGGCCCCTTTTTAGGCTCCCACAGCCTCCTGTGCTTCCACTACCCCAGCCTTGTCCATTCTGATGTGTCACTGTCTAGTGACAGGTCTGTCTCTATTATTGGACTGGGAGACCCGTGAGAGCAGGGTCAGTGTTGTCTTAATCAGCCCAGATCTCCGTGACCTCCCGGGAGAGTGAGTGCCCAGGGAGTGTTTATTTGACACAACAGTGCCTTCGTTCGCTCACTGAGCACTTGCTGTTGCATGAGGCACCATCTGAGGCACTGTTCCAGGCATGAGGGATGAAGCAGCCAGCAAAGCAGGTGAAGATCCCTGTTTTCTTGGAGCTGACAGTCTGTGGAGTTAGACAGACGGTACATGTAAATGATATTTTAGAAAGTTAGAAGCTATGGGAACAAAACAGAACAGAAAAGGGGAGTGAGAAGTAGGAGTGAGACGCCATATAAAATAGGGTGGTCAGGGATGGCTTCCCTGAGATGGTGACCTTTGAGCAAAGCTTTTGTAAGAGGTGAGGAAGTGAACAAGCCATGTGTGTGCCTGTGAGAAGAACAATTCAGGCCACGGGGATAGCAACAGCAAAGATCTTGAGGCTTGGCTGGTGGCAATAACAGGAGGGAGGAACCCTCCTGCAGCTGGAGCAGGGAAGTGAGTGGGAGGAGATGAGTGGCTGAAGGCCAGAGCACATAGGATCTGACCACCCCTTCCCTCCTTACCCCTCTGCAGATTGACAACCAGCGCTCGCGGCTGCCTGCCTCATTGGCCAACGGTCGCCTGAGTGTGTACCAGAGTGGGATGCGGGCCGTTGTGGAGCTGGACTTCGGGCTGGTGGTCACCTACGACTGGGATTGCCAGCTGGCACTGACCCTGCCCGCCCGCTTCCAAGACCAGGTGTACGGACTGTGTGGCAACTATAATGGCAACCCCACTGACGACTTCCTCACACCTGATGGGGAGCAGGCTCCTAACGTTGAGGAGTTTGCCACTAGCTGGAAGCTGGATGATGGAGACTACCTGTGTGAGGATGGCTGCCAGAGCAACTGTCCCTCCTGCACCCCAGGGCAGGCCCAGCACTATAAGGGTGACCGTCTCTGCGGCATGCTGGCCAAGCCCAATGGTCCTTTTGCCGCCTGCCATGATGCTCTAGACCCCCAGCCCTTCCTGGAGAATTGTGTGTACGACTTGTGTGTGGCCAACGGAGACCGGTCCAGCCTGTGCCGTGGCCTCAGCGCCTATGCCCAGGCCTGTCTGGAGCTCGGCATCTCTATTGAGGACTGGAGGTCACCATCCAACTGCCGTGAGTGATGCCCTAGTCAGAGCTGGGAGCACATGGTGGGAGGCAGGGGACCCCTTCCATCTGCTCAACATCTGAGCCCTTACTGTGGTACAGCCTGGAGCTGGATCATGTCAGGGACAGGGAGATGGCCAAGATGGCCAGGCTGTGCTCTCAGTGAGCCCAAGGTTGAGGCAGACATATCATCTGACAGTGACAGGCTGGAGGGGTCACAGCTGGGCTGGGGGAGGCACAAGCAGAGTGGTCAGGGCCAGGATGGGAGAAGTCAAAGAAGCCTGTGGGTCACTAAAGAAGCTTCCAGACTCAGCCTTGGGGATTAAGAACGAATTATTAGAGAAAGGGATGCCCAATCTGCAATTCTTAGAAGGACTAGGAACTAGGCAGGAAAAAGGAAGCAGGAAATGAGTTCCAGGCTGGAAGAAGGATATGTGCTAAGTTTGGGCTGAGCGGTCCTCTTCAGAGTCCCGCAGCAGCCATGTGCACATTTCTTCATTTACAGCCCTTCCACGACTCCCCGACATCCTCTGGGTAAAGTCCAAGCTCCCCAGGCAGGTGTCCATTCCCTTAATCCTTCTTTCACTCATTTATTCATTCACGCAACAGGCATGTCCTGAGCCCTTAGCTGGTTCCATCCCCATGCTGGTGATGGACACCCACCTGTCCCTGCCCTTGTGAGGCTCCCAGAAAAATGTTCAGGAGGCAGAAAGGCTAGAAAAGGCAGAGGAGAGGCTTCCAGGCCCAGGCCCAGGCCCCGGCCCCGGCCCAAGGCTTGAGACACACTCTGGAGGGAGAGTACATCTGAGGGAGACACTGAGCCATTTGAGGTTTGTCTTGGTCACTGCTGTGTCCTTACTACCCAGTTCTTACCCCTTTCACCAGAGTTCCTAGTGCCTGGTACAAAAGGAGAAACCAGCCAGTTCACCTATCCACTGGTCCAGGCCCTGTCCTTGGTGCTGAGGACTGAGCACAGACCTGGTCCCCACTCTCACAGAACTTATAAACTATTAGGAAGACAGACAGTAAGCAGTAAACCATGGAGTATCTTCAGAGAGAAAAAAATAAAGTTCATTTAATAAGAGCAATGGGGTGCTCATGGAGAAGGTGCTCAGGGAACACCATTTTGAGGAGGCATTGGGGCAGAGACTGGGGATAAGGCAACACAGTCAGCGAATAATAATAAAGGTGCTTAGTTGGTGTCTCTACATGGATGAACTCATTTACTCCTCACAGCAGCCCTGTGAGGTCAGTACTATTATTATGCCACTTTACTGACAGGGAAACTGAGGCACAAGGTGGTTGGAACTGTTTGCTCATGACCATACAGCTAAGAAGCGAGAGCCAGCATTTGAACCCATGCCTTCTGGGTTTCTGTAGCCTTCTCTCAAACAGAAGCTGCACTGCCTTTCCAGGAAAGGTCAACACAGGCAGAGGGGACAGTCAGAGCCAAGGCGCTGAGCTGGGAGTGTGGCCACCGCACCGGCCAGGAGGCCACTGTGGCTGCCGCAGAGTGAGTCAGAGAGAGAATGAGAGGAGGACAGAGAGGTCATGAGGGCGGGTGGTGTGGGGCCTCATGGGCCAGCGGGAGGGCTTTGGCTTTTACTCTGAGCAGGAGGGAACCACAAAGGGGCTCTGAGCAGGAGAGGGATGTCATCTCATTCAGGTGTTCACAGGGCCCCTCTGGCTGTGTGTGAGGACCCTACAGTAGGTAGGGGTAGGATGGGAGACCAGAGGAGAGCAGGCAGGAGGCTGCTGGGATGGATAGGACCAGGGTGGGGATGGTGGTGAGAGAAGAGGGCAGATTCTGGGTAAACTTTGAATATGGGGCCCGCAGGATTTGTTGACAGATTGATTGTCCAGGGAATAAAGCCGAGAGGGGTCAGCTATGTCTCAGAGGTTGGGGGCCTGATCTCCTGAAAAAGGGAAGTACCTTGAACTAAAAGGGGGTCTCTGGAGGAGGAACAGGGTTCAGGGCGGAAAGTCCTGGCACGTTCCGACCGAGGCTGCCTCGAGGGCCCCAGTGTGCTGGCCTGACCTGGTCCCTGTCTCCCCGCAGCCATGTCCTGCCCCGCCAACAGCCGCTACGAGCCCTGCAGCCCCGCCTGCCCGGCCTCCTGCAATCCCACGGCTGCGCCGGCCAACTGCTCCGAGCTCCCCTGCGTGGAAGGCTGCACTTGCCTCCCGGGCTTCGTGGCCAGCGGCGGCGCCTGTGTGGCGGCCTCGTCCTGCGGCTGCACCTACGAAGGCCGCCCCCTGGCGCCCGGTGAGCAGGTGTGGGCGGACGAGCAGTGCCGGCGTCGCTGCACCTGCGATGGCGCGACCCACAAGGTGAGCTGCAGCGACACGCAGGGCTGTCCCGCCGGCGAGCGCTGCCGCGTACAGAACGACCTCCTGGGTTGCTACCCGGACCGCTTCGGGAGCTGCCAGGCATCTGGGGACCCGCACTACGTGACCTTCGATGGCCGGCGCTTCGACTTCATGGGCACCTGCACCTACCTGCTGTCTGGCTCTTGCGGCCAGAACGCGGCTCTGCCCTCCTTCCGGGTACTGGTGGAAAATGAGCATCGGGGCAGCCCGACTGTGAGCTACACGCGCGCCGTGCGCGTGGAGGCCCTTGGCGTGACGGTGGCGGTGCGCAGAGAGCATCCTGGTCAAGTGCTGGTGAGAAGGAGCACCCAGGGTCGGATGGAGCGGCGGGCGGAGGGGGGAGGGGCGGTGCAGAGAATATCCCTCCAAAGAGTGGGTGGAGCTGCTGGAAGACCCGTGGCCAGGGATTGAAGCCAGGGTCCCCAAGCAGGGCCGTGCTGCCTTTCCCTGGCTGTGTGACTGGCTCTCAGGGGTCCTCAGTTTTCTCCTCTGTCAAATGTGGTAACAAGAGGCCGCCTAAAGTAGAAGCCACTTCACAGGGTGGTTATGGGGATTTGACCAGTTAATGTTAGTAGGGTGTTTAAAAATAAAACACAAACCTTGATGCCCAGTAAATGTTGACTTAATATTGTATTGATATGAACCCTGTAAAGTTATAGATTTGTGCATTTTCTGAAAGATGATTGATTTTCAGATAGTAAGGTGACCTGTAAAAGGTCAGAAATTAGAGGTGTGTGCTTTGGGGGCAGTGGGTGGGGTAGAGAGCCCAAACAATGGCAGGTTCTGGGAAGAGGGCTCTCGGATGGCCCACCACCCAGCAGAAGTCAAGAACCACTGATTGACTCTTTTTAGAAATAAAAATAAAAGTCGTGGGGTTGTTGTAAGATTTACAACATTAGTTAACAAGTATTACTGAGCACTTTGGGACAGTGGCCCATGCTTTCAGGAGGAAGATCAATTGGAAATGGAAAAGAGAGAGAGCTTTCCATATGCCTGGCACTGTGCTAAACCCTTTGCAGTCCTTAACTCTTCATCCTCAGAACGACCTTGGAGCAAAGGAAATTCTGCCCCCTAAAGCCTCGTGTTTGACATAGAGAAGCTCCTCAATAGACAGAGGACAAAATCGTTAATATTGATGTCCTCACCTCTCTGGGATGACATCTAAGCTGAGGTTTGAATAATAATAGCCAACATATATTAAGTTATTTCTATGTATTGAATGCTTGACATGTAGTAACTCATTTGATTTCTACAACAACTTTGTGAAATAGCCAGTCTTGTTAGAAGAGGACACTGAGGCACAGAAAGGTTGTCACTTATTCCAGGTCACACAGCCAATGAGTGGCAGATACGGGATTCGAAGCCAGGCAGTCTGTCTCCAGAGCCCATACTCTCAATCACTATCTTCTACTGACTCTCCTGAAAACAGAGATGGAACAGGCAGGGAAATAAGTGGATGGAAGGGTGTTCTTGCTGGAAGGAACAGCAAGTGCAAAGGCTCTAAGGCAGGAACAAACATGAAGGGCAGAGGAACAGCAGGGAGACCCGTGGGGCTGCAGTGGAGGGAGAGAGGAACGAGCGAGGCAGGGATGATGCAGAGGATGCTGTAGTAGAAGCTTTTGACTTAAGCTGAAATTTAAAGGATGAGGAACAGACCACAAGGTGAAGAGTGGTTATTCTTAGGCAGAGGGAACAACAAGTGCAAAGCCTGAGGGTGGGCTGAGCTTGAAGAGTACAGGACAGCATGCAGCTCACGAGGCTGCCCCTGAGAGACTGAGATTGGGAAGATGGAATGGAAGGTTGGTAGGAGATGAGATCAGGAAGTAGGGACAAGCAGGGCCTGGTGGGTAGAGGGGTTTGAATTTAAGCTAAGAGGTGAAGGATGACAGGGAGGAAGCCAGGCAAAGAATAGGGATGCAGAAGAGGGTAGAAAGGTCACAAGCAGAGGGCGCAGCAAGTGCAAAGGCCCCAACGCTGGGCTGAGCTGGGAGAGTTCGGGGGAGTATCAGAGGACCCGTGTGGCTGGGTTTCAGGGGTGGGGAATGGGACAGTACTGGAGAGCTGGATTGGAGGGTAGTGAGGCTCACATCATTTAAGGCCTTTTAGGCCATTGTGAGGGGTTTGTATCAAAGCTGACACCTGAAAGGTAAAAGAGAGGTAGCCAAGGGAAGAGTGCAAAGCAAGTGTGAAGCAAGTGCAAAGGCCCTGAGGTGGGAGTGCACTTGAGATGTTCTTAGTAAGGAGGCTAAGAGAGTGACGTGCTGGGTGATGCAGGCACAAAGGTGAAGAGAGCCAAGGTTAAGCAGGACCCTTCTATAGTAGGGACTTGCATGTAAGCCAAGTGAAGGGAAACAGCCAGGAGAAAAGTGCTAGATGCTATTCTTGGCAAAGGCAAAAGGCCCCAAGAGTTGGACTGAACTGGGAGAGTTACAGGAATATCAAGAAAGCCAACTTGGCCAGAAGAAAATGAGTCTGGCGCGGGGGGGGTGAAGAGGTGAGGTCAGGGAGGTAATGGGGAGGCAGGGGCTGTAGGCTCTGAAGGCTGTGAGTTAGGGATTTGGATTTAAGTTGATACGTGAAGTATGGAGAGATGTGGAAGGCATGCCAGGCAGGGGGATCTGCAAGTGCAAGGTCTCAGGTGGGACCAAGAATAACGTGCTCAAGAGAATAGCAAGGAGCTGAGTGAATGAGGGGTGGGCCACAGAGCCACGAACACACCCTGACCACTGGCCCTCCTGCATCTCTGCCCAGGTCGATGGCATCCTTCAGTACTTGCCTTTCCAGGCGGCAGATGGGCGGGTGCAGGTGTTCCGCCAGGGCCAAAATGCTGTGGTGCGCACGGACTTTGGCCTGACCGTCACCTATGACTGGGATGCCCGTGTGACTGCCAAGGTGCCTGGAAGCTATGCTGGGGCCCTGTGTGGGCTCTGTGGGAACTTCAACGACAGCCCAGATGATGACCTGGCCCTGCGGGGCGGGGGCCAAGCTGCTGATGCCCTGGCCTTCGGGAAGAGCTGGCAGGAGGAGACAAGGCCAGGCTGTGGAGCAGCCGAGCCAGGTGACTGTCCCAAGCTGGACTCCCTGGTAGCCCAGCAGCTTCAGAGTAAGAAGGAGTGCGGGATCCTTGCTGACCCTGAGGGGCCCTTCCGGGAGTGCCACCACAAGCTGGACCCGCAGGGTGCCATGCGAGACTGTGTCTACGACCGCTGCCTGCTGCCAGGCCAGTCTGGGCCTCTGTGTGATGCACTGGCCGCCTATGCGGACGCTTGCCAGGCCACTGGGGCCACTGTGCACCCTTGGAGGAGCGAGGAACTTTGCCGTGAGTATCAGTAGTGAACACTGGGGTCTCAGCCTTATGTATATTCATTAACATATAAATATCACTAATTCATTTAATTCTTTTAACAGCCTTATGAGGTAGGGACTGTGGCTTTGCCCATTTAACAGATGAGGAGCCTGAGGCTCAGAAAGGATCAGTTGCATGTCCGGGATCCTTACAGCCAGAAAATGATAGATGCAGTAATACATCAGATGGCCCTGGGTCTGATTTCCCTATGGTAGTTGTCATTCAGAGATGAGCAGTGGTATCGCTGTTAGAGGGGGCCCAGCCCCCTCTCCAGTGCTGCTTGGTCCCCTCCTGGTCTGCTGCACTGATGTATAACACCTGCTGAGCCCCCTGGGCAGTCACTCTGAGACCCTTGCATCAGATGCAGATGCAGGAATGGTCTTCAAACGTTTTTGCTTTCCTATAAAAGGAGTTTAGAAAGCCATGCATCCTTTCACCTGATTTTTACATTTTAAAATTTATTGTTAAAATATAATACATATATTAAAAATATGCACATATAATAAGTAGAAGCTTGTTTAATTTTCCACAAGAGAAAGACAGGTTTGCATAAGCTGTCCTAAGAATCATGAAAAAGTACATACTGGGCCCCCCGTCACTTTGGAAGGGATGCCCTTCATGCCCTTTTCCCAGCATTATACCCCAAGTGGTAACCACTATTCTGAGTTCTAAAGTTCCTCTTTTAAAAAAGATTTTATTTATTTATTTTTAGAGAGGGGAAGGGGAGGAGAAACAGAGAAAGAGAAACATCAATGTGTGGTTGCCTCTCACATGCCCCCTACTAGGGATCTGACCTGCAACCAGGCATGTTCCCTGACTGGGAATCGAACCAGCAACCCTTTGGTTCTCAGGCTGGTGCTCAGTCTGCTGAGCTACACCCGCCAGGGCTAATTGCTTCTTTATAACATTACTTAACTTGTTCATCTGTCCAGCCAGATTCTCTTTTAAACTGGATCAGTAGTGCTGTTCAATAGAACTTTAGTGATAATAGAAATGTTCATATTTGAGCTGTATCATATCATATGGTTGCCACTAATAAAATGTAGCTGTTGAACATTTGAAATGGGGCTGTTGTGACCAAAACACTAAGTCTTCAGTTTTATTTCATTTTAATTAAATTTACATTTAAATGGCCACAAGTGACTGTCATATTGGACCACACAGATAGAAGATTGATTTGGTTCAGTTTTGTTTTTTTGTTTTGTTTCACTTTTGAGGAAACTATTTGTCTTTTTTTAATGAATCCTCACCCAAAGATATGTTTATCAATTTTTAGAGAGAGAGGAAGGGGGGAGAGAGAGAGAGAGAAAGTGAGAGAGAGACGTCAATGTGAGAAAGAAACATCAGTGGGTTGCCTTTTGTATGTGCCCTGACCAGGGATCAAACCCACAGCTTAGGTATACATCCTGACTGGGAATCGAACCCTCAAACTTTTGGTGTATGGGACAATGGTCCAACCAACTGAGCCACCCAGCCAGGGCAAAACTGCCTGTCTTCTAATCTGGAGTGAGTGGGGTTTGGAAAGCGGAACAGGGATTCTTTACTTTTTTCTTTACAACATGGACAAATATTTTAATCTATAGAATCATTACTCCTGCTGCAGAATGAAGAAGCTAAGAGTACTGCACTCACAAACACACCACAGAGATCACACACACTCACCACACATACGTATGTTTAAAGTACGTATGGCATAGTCATGCCTTCAACACGCTCGCTGAAGACAGTCCAGATAACCCAGAGCAGGGCTGACCACGATCAGGACCAGCTTAGCTGTGACGTAACCTGTTCCCCAGGCCCCACTCAGCAGAGGAGCTCCTTGCAGCTGGATCACTTCTGTGTGGCCGTGTGTGAGCATGCGTGAGCATGTGTGTGCATGTGTGTGTGCACATGCATGTGTGTCAGGGGGTCAACTGTTTCCCCAGCGTCAGGGTCTCCCAACCCTGACGGCCACTCTCCCCACAGCGCTGACCTGCCCGCCCCACAGTCACTACGAGGCCTGCTCCTATGGCTGCCCGCTGTCCTGCGGGGACCTCCCGGTGCCCGGCGGCTGTGGCTCTGACTGCCGCGAGGGCTGTGTGTGCGACGAGGGCTTTGCGCTCAGTGGTGAGTCCTGCGTGCCCCTGCCCTCCTGTGGCTGCTTGTACCAGGGCACCTACCACCCGCCGGGCCAGACCTTCTATCCTGGACCGGGATGCGAGTCCCTTTGTCACTGCCAGGAGGGTGGCCTGGTGTCCTGTGAGCCCTCCACCTGCGGCCCGCATGAGGCCTGCCAGCCGTCCGGTGGCGTGCTGGGCTGCGTGGCTGTGGGCTCTGTCACCTGCCAAGCATCAGGAGATCCTCATTACACCACCTTCGACGGCCGCCGCTTTGACTTTATGGGCACCTGTGTGTATGTGCTGGCTCGGACCTGTGGGACCCGGCCCGGCCTGGAACAGTTCACCGTCCTGCAGGAGAATGAGGAATGGAACAATAAGAAAGTCAGTGTGACCAAGGTGATCACTGTCCAGGTGGCTAACTTCACCCTGCGGCTGGAACAGAATAAGTGGAAGGTCACGGTGAGAGCAGGGGCTGACCCTGGGGGGCGGGGGGGGGGGCTGGGATAGAGGGCCATCTGTGGGTGGGACCCGGGCAGTGCTCAGCCCAGGGGCAGGAGACACAGGGTTCAGAGTGGATGTGAGAGGCATGGGGTCCCAAAGGAGAGGAGCTGCTGATCAGAACCCAGAGTGGGGAGCCAAGGAGACCCTGGGAGCTGAGATCTGTTCCCCCATGGCCTCAGTATCCCCTCTCCCTGGACTACCCCCTCTGAAGGCCTCTCCCACAGCCCACTCCCTTTCCCTCCATCCCCCCTCCATCCCAGTCCCTGCCCCAGCCACCTCCCTGGTCTCCCAGCCTGTGGCAGCATGTGATGCCACCAGAGGTTGGTGAAGTTCCGGAATGGGAAAGGCTCAAGGACAGAGGACAATCCGAGGGTAGCTCCGCCATTCCTGAACAGCCACAACCACAACAACAGCAGCTGCGGCTTCTGCACAGCTGACCCCAGACCTGGGCTGCTAAGCACTTCAAACCCAAGTGTCATTTTATCCTCATAGTAGTAGCTGGAATGCCTTGATTTGCTTTGGTTTTTAAAGGGGGATGTCCCATCACTGGCCAAAGTCCCCCAGCAAAGGCGGGACTTGAACCCAAGATGGCGTACCAGGAGACAGCAGGCTGGACCCTGGGGCTTCAGGTGCTTTCAGACCGAGACGAGTTCACTCTCACAGGGGAATGGGCATTTCACTTACCCTGGAGGGTTTTCTGCAGAGATCCCACTAAAATTCAGGCACCTGACTGTTGTACTAGTAGCGATATTGATGAGAATGCTGTTGAATAGCTGACTTTTTCAAGTGCTCATGCATTTGATGTTTAAATACACTCCCTGATGCACAGCCATGCTCCTGAAATAGCACCTGGCATACAATTGGCTATCAATACATAAGAGTTGTTGGGTTTTTTTGTTGTGAGGTAGAAACTAGCAATGTCCCCACTTTACAGATGAGGAAACTGAGGCACAGGGGCTAAGTCACTTAGCCTTACCCGCTATCCATCCCTGCTCGGGAAGGACGGTGGAAGACTGTTTTTAGGAGACTCATCCAGGACCACATCCTTCTCCTGCCTTCTTCTCTGATTCCTCACGCTTCCAAAACGATTGAACGCTCATTGTGTCTGTATTAAGGGAGACCTAGCAAGCGTGTTAACCAGGGGGTGGATTTACGAGGCTTTATTAGTGCCTTAAACTGAAACCATGGGTTCTTGGCTCATGGACTTGAAGTTCATTTCTCCAGAAATTTAGCCTGACTTTCCACCCACTGATGGATGCTTAAGGCAAAAACCCTTCACACCCATTTACTCTTCAAAATAAAAACACCCAGTCATAGCTAATAATAATAATAAGCTCTCCCAGAATACCCATTCTATGCTAGATACATGGGCCAGCACTTTGCAAATACTAATTTATTGAGTCCTTATGACAACACTGTGGGGTAGGCACCGTGTTCCCACTCGGTAGATGAGGAAACATGAAAAGGGAGGTGCCTCGCCTGCCCTACTCTTCACAGGAAGAGTAGGGGCGGTGCCGTGTTTGAGCCCAGGCAGGTGTAAAGTCAGTTACTGCATGACTGGCCATTGCAGTTAAGTGGCGATTAAACGGCCCCTGGTAAGGCTGTTATTCCACTGAGACCCGGATCAGTTTCCTGTGGCTGCTGTATAAGTTGCCACCATGTGGTGACTTAAAACAACAGGAATTTAGTTCCTCAGAGTTGTGAATGCCGGAAGTCCCCCGCCCCTTCCAGCTTCGGGGGGTCCCAGTAGCTCCCGGCCGAGGCTGCCGTGCTCCATCTTTGTCTCCATCTCCACGCGGCCTTCCCTGGTCTCTCTTTGTCTCCTCTGCTCCTGGCTCTCACATGGACATGTGACACAGGACAGAGGGCTCACCCTAATCCAGGATGATCGCGTCCCCGGTCATTATCCTCTTACATTTGCAAAGACCCTTATTCTGAATAAGGCCATAGTCTGAGGTCCTGAGTGGACATAGCTTTGGGGGGCCACCATCCAACCCACTAGAAGGCCCTATTATTATACCCATTTTACAAATATAGAAACTAAGGTCCTGCAGATCTTCAGTGTTGGGGGGGCCTTGACTGGGGCCTGCCCTCCCAAAGCGTACCCTCTGAAGCATGGCATCTCCTGCCTCCCAGGTAAACGGCGTGGACATGAAGCCCCCTGTGGTGCTGGCCGAGGGCCGGGTCCGCGCCTTCCAGGAAGGCTCAGATATGGTGATCAAGACTGACTTTGGACTGCGTGTGGTCTACGACCTCGTGTATAATGTGCGGGTCACAGTCCCGGGCAACTACTACAAGCAGTTGTGTGGCCTGTGCGGGGACTACAATGGCGACCCCAAGGACGACTTCCAGAAGCCCGACGGTTCGCAGGCCGCCAACCCCAATGAGTTTGGCAACTCCTGGGAGGAGAAGGTGCCCGGCTCTCCCTGCCTGCCGCCTCCCACCTGCAAGCCTGGCGAAGACTGCCACCCTCAGGAGTGCGGGCCTGAGCTGCAGGAGAAGTACCAGCAGGAGCAGTTCTGTGGGCTCCTCGCCAGCCCCACTGGGCCACTGGCCGCCTGCCACAAGCTGCTGGATCCCCAGGGTCCCTTGCAAAACTGTGTCTTTGATCTCTGTGTCGGTGGTGGAAACCAGAGCATTCTCTGCAGCAACATTCATGCCTATGTGAGTGCTTGCCAGGCAGCTGGAGGCCATGTGGAACCCTGGAGGACCGAATCTTTCTGTCGTGAGTAAGGGGCAGAGACAGGGGACACCAAGAAGCAGAGCGGGGGAGGTTGAGATGCAGAAGGGGCAGACCCTGGACCCCGCAGCCCCTCCTTCCAAGAGGCTCTGACCCGCACCCCTCTTTGCAGCAATGACGTGCGCCCCCAACAGTCACTATGAGCTCTGTGCAGACACCTGCTCCCTGACCTGCTCCGCACTCAGCACGGCCCCTCAGTGCCCAGATGCCTGTGCCGAGGGCTGCCAGTGTGACCCTGGCTTCCTCAGTGACGGCCAAGCCTGCGTGCCCATCCAGAAGTGCGGCTGCTACCACAATGGTATCTACTATGAGGTAGGAACCTGGTCATCCCCAACAGATCTGCGGCCTCATCCTGGACCCCTTCCCACTGCCCATCAGCCCCACAGCCTGTGCACTGGGCCTCCTGGACGTCCCTCCCACCCACTTCTCCTGCACAACCCATGGCCCCACTGTGATCCAGCTTGTCCCCTCCTACCTGGCTCCCTCCCAGCACTCTCTTTTGCTCCCTTCGATCACTGTCCCCATGGCAGTGGGAAAGACCTTTGTAAATATAACTGTAGCTCCTGCAACTTTAAACCCTCCCCTGACTCCTCAGGTCAAGTTTTGGCTCTGTACCTGGGTCCAATTTTTGTCTCTGTTATACCAGCGGCTAACGCCCCCTGCTTCCCTCTCCCTCGCTCACAGTTACTCCTTTCCCTTTGATCTGAGTGTGTTTGTCTGAGGTCTGTTTTTCTCAAAGCACTCCAAGTGCTGTGGCTGGTGGGGCCAAGGGAGGGGGGCTCTCCATTGATCTCATATGAATAATAATAGCAATAATAACAAATAGGCAGCTAGTGCTTACTATGTAGAGGTTTCTGCTTTAAGTGCTATACTATGCTATGATATATAAGCTTTTTATTATGAAAAATTTCAAATATGCAAAAGAGAGCAATGTAATAAATATTCATGTACCCATCACTCAGCTTCAAAAAGAAATCAGCATTTTCCCAATCTTGTTTCATCTCCACTCCTGCATTTTCTCTTCAATCTGGTTGATCTACAGAAAATCCCTTTTCATTTCATCCGTATTTCATAGGTATTACTAACTCGGTTACATTTTCATAGGTAGGTGCTATTATTATCTGCAATTTATGTGGAAACTAAGGCATAAAGAGATTAAATAATTTGCACAGAATGATGTGATCAGCAAATAGCAGGAAAAGGCGTCAGACTCAGGCAATCTGCTCCAGAGCCTTTGCTCTTGATCACTGTTATACCGTTTATCCTACACAGCAGATATTTAGTGGATAGTTTGGAATAAACAAATGAGTAAGTGAATGCAAGTGAGTGAGTGAATGAATGGAACCCCAAGGCCATGCTGTGCTTTAGTTTCACAGACAAGGGGCCACCCTGATGAAACATGTCCCCTTCCTGTCCTCCAGACCGCAGAGGTCTGGGGTGAACGCCCACCCTGATGACTGTGCCCTCTGTCCCCACAGCCGGAGCAGACAGTACTCATCAACAACTGCCAGCAGCAGTGCGTGTGCCACGCCGGGAAAGGCCTGGTGTGCCAGAGCCACTCCTGTAAACCGGGGCACGCGTGCCACTCCACGGCAGGCATCCTGAGCTGCGTCAAAGGTGCTGGGCTAGGTTGGGGCCGGTGTGGCTGGGGACGGAGGACAGTGACTTCGGAGCTGAAGGTGGTGTGACCTGGATCTTTACGGTGGGAGGCGCTGAGGACTGAGGTCTCTGACCTGGGGACCTCTGGGCTGGGATCCCCAGGGCCCTCCAGGCAGGGAGGCAGTGGCCCTCAGGGTGGAGCCCAGGCTGTGGGGGGCCTCAGGCCTGGGTTTCCTGGGCAGATGTCAGAGACCCTCAGCATAAGAGAGGGTCAGGCAAACATTTTCTCTAAAGGTCTTGCTGGTAAATATCTAGACTTGCAGGCCTCACGGCTTTGGTCCCAACCATTCAACTCTGCCATCATGGCACAAAGTCAGCCATAGGGTAGATAAGTAGGGGACACAGTGCCATCAAAAGATTATTTACAAAGACAGGCAGCTGGTGGTGCCATAGTTTTCTGACCATTGGTATGTGGGATTAGTCCTGGGGCTTCAGGCACCATCCCCAAGGGGTTCGAGAGACTGGGGCCCATGGGGGCAGGGGCAGAGTCCTGAGGTCTCAAGCATATACCCCACGAAGTCTCGGGTCTTGGATATAGGGCGCCCCTCGAGTGAAAGACCAAGATTTATATGGATACACTCTCAGACATGGGGACCCCCAGATTAAGCCTAAGACACAGAGCCACCCCAAGACTGGTTTCTTAGGGTGAAGGACAGAAAATGATTTCCTTGTTTCTGAGGATAAGGAAATGGAACCTCCAGAACTAACTGAGACCCCCCAGGGCTAACGGACAGGATAACAGGGACTCCCGGGATGGTGGTATATCAGTCAGGGACCAATCAGGAGACACAAACACAGCAGCACAGCAGCACGAGCAGGGCAAGTTGGACAGAAAGAATCCTTTACCTAAATAGGGGATGGACACTGAGGGACACAGGGAATGGTAAGGAGCACAAAGCAGATACGTGGAGCAGTGCCTGCCCCTCAAGCGAAAGCACAGCAGCACCCAAGCAAAGAAAGGAGGAATTGGGGAGAGGGCCCCTACCCCAAGGCTGAGAGGCAGATCTCATTGGAAAATTCGACTGCGGCTCACTGGATGGCAGAGAGGTCATGCAGGCTGGAGCCGGCAAGCAGGAAAACCCCCACTGCTGAGTGGGTGTCCCACATGCCGCTGGCCCCCCATGCCCACAGGAGACAAGGAGAGCAGAGCCGTTGGAAGCAAGAGGGGTCCCTTTCCTCTTGCTGGGACCCTCCAGTGCCCCCTACGGACAAAGTCTAGCTCTACCAGTGGGTTTGGAGCTAAAAGTCTATAAACTGAAAATTGGCACGGGGGAGAGAGGAGGAGGTTTCAAGGCTGGGGTCTTGGGCATAGGAGTTCCAAAAACTGGGGTCACAGATATAATGGCCCCAGGGACAGAGTCTTGGACAAAGAGACCCTCATAGGTAGGGCCTCAGAAATGAGATCCCCATGGCTAGGGTCTCAGACACAGCAACCCCAGGGAGACGTAGTCTTGTACAAAAGGATCCCCAGGCCATGAGACTTAGATATGGGGACCAGGGTCTCAAATGTTGGGACCTCTGGGGTTAGATTATCACCAGAAAGGTCCTTCATTGCCTTGGTCTTGGGCACAGAGACCTCCAGGACTGGGGTCTCAGATGTGGCTGCCCAGGTAGCTGGGTCGGGAGGACCTGGGCCCAGGTCTTGAACACAGAGAACCGTGGGGCTGTGGATGCCCTCGTGGACACCCTCAGGGCTGGCCACATAGACAGGGGGCCCTTGGGGTTCTGGTCTCAAACCCGAGTCCCCCGGGGCTGCGATCTCAAGCAAGGGGACCCCAGTGCCTGGGGGCAGGTGCTGGGATGCAGCCAGCCTCATGCCAGGCATCCCCTCGAGGTCCTCTCTCCTCTGCCCCCAGACCCGTGCTTTGGTGTGACGTGCCGGCCACAGGAGACATGCCAGGAGAAGAATGGCCAGGGTGTGTGTGTGCCCAACTACGAGGCCACGTGCTGGCTGTGGGGCGACCCCCACTACCACTCCTTCGATGGCTGGAACTTTGACTTCCAGGGCACCTGTAACTACGTGCTGGCGACAACCAGCTGCCCAGGGGTCAGCAACACCCAGGGCCTGACACCCTTCACCATCACCACCAAGAATGAGAACCGGGGCAACCCTGCTGTGTCCTACGCGAGGCTTGTCACTGTGACCACCCTCAACACCAACATCTCCATCCACAAAGGCGAGGTCGGCAAAGTCCGGGTAAGTCCCACAGGATGGTCCCCTGAGCTCCTGTTTGGGTGGGAGGGGTCCTGGCAGCCACAGTTAGGAGCTCAATGCTCTCTCTCTCTTCACCCAGACCTTAAACAAAAGGGCAGCAAAGCAACAATAATCACAGCAAAAACCTCTGTCGGGAATTAAATGAGCTCAAAGGGCTTTTTGCAAAGGGCTTTCACCTAGGACTTCAGCATTTTGCCTTTTTAGAGAACTGGGTTCGAATCCAGGTTCTCCACAGCAGCTGTGTGACATTGGGCAAGTGATGACTTGGTGGGCCTCAGTTTCCTCATCTTAGGAACAGGGGCCGTAGCAGGCTCTGCCTTCAGTGAGGCGGTGCAGTCCAGTGTTCGGCTGGGGGACTGACCTCAGGAAGCCACCGTGAACGTCTGTGAGGAAACGAGTGAGAGGCCTTGAGACTGACGTGGAGCAACACTCAGGGAACTAGAGAGAGAGAAGGGCCGCCCTTTCTGCCCAGGGTAATGGAGACGCAGATGAAGGGCAGCCCACAGGGGGAGAGGGAAGCGCGGAACAGGGTGGGCACTCCATAAATGATGGTGCGTGGGAGAGGTGCCCAGACACGCAGAGGTGCTCAGGGAAAGGGGGGGGGGAGCAAGTGGGTGAAAGACCCAGAGAGAGCACACATGCACACCACACACACACACACACACACACACACACAGTGTGGGAGCGGGGGAGAGAGAGACTCAGAGAAAGGGAAATCTGAGAGAGAGATCTGGATGTAGACAGAGGAAGAGGAAGGGAGGGAGATGAGATCAAGAGAGAAACTCAGAGGAAGCAGCAGAGATAGGTTGCATTCCCCTGGCCAGACTGCAGCCGATGTCAGTGTTAGTTAAGTGACTCTACAGCTGTCAGTCATGAGGAAGGCCTTGGCGGGCCAAGTGAGGGAGGCAGAGGCCAGAGCCGAGCCTCCACACCTCGAGTGATCTCTGTTTGCGCCCCCTCCTCACCCCCGATCTCCCCTTCCTCCAGGTGAATGGCGTGCTGACAGCGTTGCCTGTCTCTGTGGCCGGCGGGAGGCTTTCAGTGACCCAGGGCCCATCAAAAGCAATGCTGGCAACCGACTTCGGGCTGCAGGTCAGCTATGACTGGAACTGGCGAGTGGAAGTGACTCTGCCCAGTAGCTACCACGGCGCAGTGTGTGGGCTCTGTGGGAACATGGACCGCAACCCTGGCAACGACCAAGCCTTCCCTAATGGCACCCTGGCTCCCTCTATACCCATCTGGGGTGGCAGCTGGCGAGCCCCAGGCTGGGACCCACTGTGCTGGGACGAATGTCAGGGGTCCTGCCCAACATGTCCTGAGGACCGGCTGGAAGAGTACAAGGGCCCTGGGTTTTGTGGACCCCTGGCTGCCGGTGCAGGAGGCCCCTTTGCTGCCTGCCATGCCCACGTGGCACCTGATAGCTTCTTTAAGGGCTGCGTTCTGGATGTCTGCCTGGGCGGTGGGTCCCACAACATCCTTTGCCAGGCTCTGGCAACCTATGCTGCTGCCTGCCAGGCTGCTGGCATTGTCATCGAGGACTGGAGGGCACAGGCTGGCTGTGGTGAGTGTCAGGGTGAACTGGGCAGGACTTGGGGGTGGGGATCCTGTCTCTGCAGGGCTGGTTTGGTTTCCCAGTTCTTCTGGGCCTTTTTGTTTCTTCCTACGTCTCTTTGTTTTTATCTTGGTGTCTAACTCTGTCTCCCTCTGATTGTTTCTCTGTCTCTCTGTTTCTCATTCACTCACTCCTATCACTGTTTGGGTCTTTGTTCCTCTCTCTTTTTGTCTCTCTGTGTCTTTTGTTCTGTCTCTCTCAGTCTCTCTGTCTGTCCCTCTTTGTCCCTCTCTCTGTCTCTTCCCACTCTGTGCTCAGACCCCACCCTCTGATACCATTGTTTCTCTCTCCCCCTCCCACTCTTTCATCTGCCTGCAGAGATCTCCTGCCCCAACAACAGCCACTACGAGCTCTGTGGCCCACTGTGCCCTGCCAGCTGCCCGTCCCCTGTGCCCCCCACGACCCCAGTCCCCTGCGAGGGCCCCTGCGCCGAGGGCTGCCAGTGTGACCCGGGCTTTGTGTTGAGCGTAGACCGCTGTGTTCCTCTGGATGGCGGCTGTGGCTGCTGGGTCAACAACACCTACCACGAGGCAGGCAGCGAGTTCTGGCCCAGTGCCACCTGCTCCCAGAGGTGCCAGTGTGGACCTGGGGGTGGCTCCCTGGTCTGCAAGCCTGCCAAGTGTGGGCTAGGCGAAGCGTGCGCCCTGCTGCCCTCAGGCCAGTATGGCTGCCAACCTGTCAGTACGGCTGAATGTCAAGCCTGGGGCGACCCCCATTACATCACCCTGGACGGGCACCGATTCGACTTCCAAGGTGCCTGTGAGTACCTGTTGAGTGCACCTTGCAGTGAACCGCCTGCGGGGGTTGAGAACTTCACCGTCACTGTAGCCAATGAGCACCGGGGCAGCCAGGCCGTCAGCTACACCCGCAGCGTCACCCTGCACATCTACAACCACAACTTGACCCTCAGTGCCCGCTGGCCCCGACAGCTGCAGGTGAGGGGTCCGTGGTCAAGGCAGGAGTAGTGCCAGCCCTGAGTTGCCTGGGGATTGGTGGTGTGCCATTCTCCTGATTGCCTTTCACAGGTCAGCCAGAGCGTGATGGAGGGGTTCAGAGTGTAGGTCTTACAGCCAGATGGCTTGGGGCAGTGGCTTCCCCGCCTTTGAGCTTTTGTTTATTCTTCTGTAAAATGGGCCTAAGAAAAGCACCTACTACAGAGGGTAATGTGAAGAGCCAGTGAAATCGAGTCTAAAGATTAGTATTATTGAGAGGAGGGCTCATTAAGTAGCAGAGATGGGATTTGGACCTTTGTCCTGGCCATTCACTACCTCCACCTCTGCCCCACGCCCGCAGGTGGACGGCAAGCTCGTGGCGCTGCCCTTCCAGCTGGACTCGCGCCTGCGCGCCTACCTGAGTGGCCCCGACGTGGTGGTGACAGCGGCCACAGGGCTCTCACTGGCTTTCGACGGGGACAGCAACGTGCGCCTGCGCGTGCCAGCGGCGTATGCAGGCGCCCTTTGTGGCCTGTGTGGGAACTACAACCGGGACCCTGCGGACGACCTGCAGGCAGTGGGCAGGAATCCCGGCCAATGGCAGGTGGGCGGCGACGAGGGCTGTGGAGAGTGCATGCCCGGGCCGTGTCCCCCGCCTTGCACGCCAGAGCAGCAGGAGCCTTTCGGTGGTCCCGATGCCTGCGGCGTGATCTCGGCCCCTGACGGCCCGCTGGCCCCCTGCCACCGCCTCTTGCCGCCCGCGCAGTACTTCCAGGCCTGCTTGCTGGACGCCTGCCAGGCTCAGGGCCATCCCGGAGGCCTCTGCCCTGCTGTGGCCGCCTATGTGGCAGCCTGCCAGGCCGCTGGGGCCCAACTCGGCGAGTGGAGGCGGCCGGATTTCTGTCGTGAGTACTCACCCATGCATGGGCCATATAGTGGGGATCTCCCCATTCTGTCTTTACACAGGACTCTAAGACAGGAGCCTTCTTCAAGGTGTGCCTTAGACACCACCCTGCCTGCCCTGAGCCAGATATCTCCTGTTGGAGAAATACCTTGGCATTCGCCCACTAAATGCACCAGGGCACATACTGCAGTGAGAGAGACTGATACACCCAGGCAGAACCCTGGGTCCGGCAGACTGTCGGGGAGCATGCACTCAGTGTCCTAGCCAGATGAAGTGATTGGCAGACCCTGTCAGAGCTAGACAGTGAGATTCACCTGGTCAAATAGATTCTCTCAGGTACCCCTGGTCAGAGAGACCTGGAAAGTTCCACCTGCTCAGATGCCCCTGGACTGTTGCACACGCTGAAATACACAGGAATTGGCCTGATAACATCAGACAGGGGCTCTGGTTAGAGACACTGGGCAGACACACCCAGACGGAATCATGACCCTGACATAGCCCTATGCAGATACGTACATAGTCACGGGGAGTCACACCCCAGGATACATCTGCCCCATGCCTCAGTCAGATGCACGCCCTGAGTACTGCTGCTGGTTCGGACACACATAGTTTAGTCAGTCACACATGGTCAGGTTGATCAGGTTGACCCACAACCTGGTCAAAGAGCCCTGGTTCCCAGAGCCCTGCACTGAACCCCCCAGTTAGACGCACTGGGTCTCACACCCCTCTCACATCCCTGGACAGATTCGCTCACACATTGTGCTAGGGCAGAGCACACAGATCCACCTGGGCAGGTTCCTCCACTCCGCACCTCCCCCCGCCCAGCTCACTTCCCGCTTGTCCCCACAGCCTTCCAGTGCCCTGCCCACAGCCACTACAAGCTCTGCGGTGACTCCTGCCCTGTGAGCTGCCCCAGCCTCTCGGCGCCCGAGGGCTGCGAGCCAGCCTGCCGTGAAGGCTGTGTCTGCGATGCCGGCTTTGTGCTCAGTGGTGACACCTGCGTGCCTCTGGGCCAGTGTGGCTGCCTCCATGAGGGCCACTACTACCCACTAGGCGAGGCCTTCTACCCAGGCCCCGAGTGCGAGCGGCGCTGTGAATGTGGGCCGGGTGGCCAAGTCACCTGCCAGGAGGGCACAGCCTGCCAGCCCCATGAAGAGTGCCGGCTACAGGATGGCGTCCAGGCCTGTCACCCTAAAGGCTGTGGCCATTGCCTGGCCAGTGGTGGCATCCACTACGTTACCCTGGATGGACGCGTCTATGATATGCATGGCTCCTGCTCCTATATCTTGGCTCAAGTCTGCCACCCACAGCCTGGGGACGAGGACTTTGCCATTGTGCTTGAGAAGAACTCGGCTGGAGATCCCCAGCGCCTGATAGTTACTGTGGCTGGCCAGGTTGTGAGCCTGGCTCAGGGCCCGCGGGTAAGTGGACATGGCCCTGCCCTGGGGACTCTGAGGGGACACAACCCTGCCCTGGGAAGTCTGAAGGGGATATGGCCTCACCCCATAGGGGCTGAAAGAGATGCAGCTCTACCCTGGAAGTCTAAGGGGACTGCCTTACCTGTGGGTCCCTGACCCGCCTGACCCTTCCACACAGGTCACTGTGGACGGCGAGGCTGTGGCCCTGCCCATGGCTGTGGACCACGTGCGGGTGACCGCTGAGGGCCGGAACATGATTCTGCAGACGACCAAGGGGCTGCGGCTTCTCTTCGATGGTGACGCCCACATCCTCATATCCATCCCTGGCTCCTTCCGTGGCCGTCTCTGTGGCCTTTGTGGGAACTTCAATGGCAACTGGAGTGATGACTTTGTCCTGCCCAGTGGCACCGTGGCCCCCAGTGTGGATGCCTTTGGAGCTGCGTGGCGGGTGCCAGGCTCCTCCCAGGGCTGTGGCGAGGGCTTCGGGCCCCAGGGCTGGCCAGTGTGCTCAGCAGAGGAGACAGCACCCTATGAGAGCATCAAGGCCTGCGGGCAACTCCGGGACCCCCAGGGGCCCTTCTCGGCCTGCCATGCGGTGCTGAGCCCCTCTGAGTACTTCCGCCAGTGTGTGTTTGACCTGTGTGCCCACAAGGGCAACAGCACCTTCCTCTGCCGCAGCCTGGCTGCCTATACAGCATCCTGTCAGGCAGCTGGCCAGGCCGTGAAGCCCTGGAGGACAAACAGTTTCTGCCGTGAGTACCCACAGGATTCTCACCAGGCTCGGGCTTGCCTCCTGATCCGCTCCCAGTCCTGTCTGCATCTTAGGGGCAGCCTCTTCCCTGTTAAAGGTCCCCCACCCCAGTTTCTCCCACAGCGCACCCTGCTGGCTTCCCTCTGGCTGGTCTGCTAGCTGACTGACCCTTCTCAGACTCCTTTCAGGGGCCCGCCCACTCTCTGAAACCTCAGACACACTTCTTCCTTAGAGCCCTTCCTGGACTTTTTCTGTGGTGACCTGGGAGGGTAGGTTCTTGGATCTCTAGTTCACACACTAAAGCCTGAGTCCGTGACTAACCCAGACCCCAAAGCATGGGGACATACCCCTCACATCCCCCAAGACAAGGCTGCAGCCCCCAGATCCCCAGAACTCTACCTCTCTGATCCCCCAGCCAGTGGACATCTGTTTCCTGCAAACCCCCAGGGCAGGGCCATGTCTCCTCATTCTCTTCAGGGCAGAGCCTGTTTTCAGGATCATCATCCACCTCCACGGCCGCAGATTTGTCTTCAGTGCTGAGTGTGGGCACTGTCTCTAGACCTGGCCTCTCTCCTGACTGCCAGCCTCAGGGGTCCAGCAGCCTACTGGACACTTCCCCCGGGTGTCCTTAGGGTCCTTCACACCTGCTGTGCTCCCATGGGACATTAGTGTTTCATCCTAAACTCGATCCTCGTATCCCCCATCTCAGCACAGCCGTACCACCCACCAGCTGCTCAGCCGGAGCCCAGCTCCCCACCCTGGATGCCTCCCTTGGGTCGTTAGCTCCCTGTTTTTGCCCCATCCTGGCCCTGACCACTCTGTCTGTGCTCCTCAGTGCAACCCCGATCACACTGGGCTGGCACTATTTACCCCACCGAGAGGAGGTCCCGAGCAGAGCCGGGGGCTGTCTTCACCTCCTGTCGCCAGGGCTGGTGTGCAGGTGTGACCCCACTCTGCCTCCTCTCTCCGCAGCGCTCCAGTGCCCCGCCAACAGCCACTACTCCACCTGCACGCACTCCTGCCAGGGCTCCTGTGCGGCTCTCTCCGGCCTCACCGGCTGCACCTCCCGCTGCTTTGAGGGCTGTGAGTGTGATGACCGCTTCCTGCTCTCCCAGGGCGTCTGCATCCCTGTCAAGGACTGTGGCTGCACCCATGATGGCCGATACTTGCCGGTGAGCGGAACCTGAGGTGGGCAGGTGGAGGGGCTTGAGGGAGACTCAAAGCTTCTGTGCTGACCCCCTTAAGGACAGGGACAGTGGGGCTGCCAGCATCTCTCAGCTGTGTGACTCGGTGCTGGTGACATCGCTGTGTAAGTTCCTTTGGCTGCTGGGACAAATGACCATAAATTTGGTGGCTTGAAACAGGAGAAATGTATCCTCCCACCATTCTAGAAGCCATAAAACAGAAAGCCTATCACTGGGTCAAAATCCAGGTGTCCTCAGGGTGGCACCCTCCAGAGGCTCCAGAAGAGAATCCGTTCCTTGCCACTCTCTGCCCCAGCTTTTGGTGGCTGCAGGCATTCCTCAGTTTATGGCTACACCACTGCAGTTCCTGCTTCTGTCACATTCCCCCTCCTCTTCTGTGTGCAACAGAAAATCTCCCTCTGCCTCCCTCTTAGGATACCTGTGGCTGCATTTAAGGCCCAGACAGATAATCCAGAGTAATCTCTTTATCTCAAGACCTTTAATTTAATCACATCTGCAAATTCCCCATATAAGGTCACATTTACTAGTTCCAGGCATTAGGACTTGATATCTTTGGGAGCTGTTATTCACCTACTACAGTACCTTCCCTAAGCCTCAGTTTTTCATCTGTAAAATGAGATTTACCCTCCTGGCACCACAGGTGTTTGAGGACTAGGGGCAATTACACAGGAAAGGCACCCACAGAGCACCGAGCCTTGTCCTCTGCACTCGGTAAAACTTACGACAGCACGGTGGACAGCACAGCTAACAACAGTTTAATAATGTGTGTTGAAAGTTCTTTCATTTTTGTTATAGTTGATTTATTTTTATTATTCATGTTGTTTGAGCTCTTGCTGTTCCTGGACTGCTCCTGTGCCAGGGGCTGGCCCTGCCCTGGCATGGTCCGGGGACTTTTGCATGTCTGGTGACTTCTAGGCTCTTGACTCGTGCAGGAGAAAATTCAAGAAGCAAGTCCAGGTGGCAGTGACAGGGAGTTCATTAAAGCTTAGGGCAGTGAAGCCAAAGAAGGGCCCTTGGACACAGGATCAGGGGCCAAACCTAGGGTGAGCTGCCACTGCCCACTGCTCCCCTGGTGACAAGTCTCATGGAAACCTGCAGAGCTTGGGATAAGAAGAGCAAAAATATGTACCCAAGGAAGGGGCGTGTACATGTTCAAAGTAAAGCACTAGCTGCCCTTCTCTGTCCTGAGGGGTTTTATCTATTTTCCATGGACGGGAATTTTAGGGGATGTCTCGGGGAGGATCTCAATAGTATTCGCCAGATTCACAGTGTGTCATTCAGTGTGCTCATCTATGGAAATAACACACAATGGGGCCTGCGGTCATTTTCTGGTCAGTTTTACCTCTGCCTTGAGTTAGTCTGGCTCTGATTGGTTTTCATTATCTACCTTCCTGACGAGGGTGATTGAAACCGTCTGTTCTTCGGCATCTTCAGTTAGGGAGTACAGGGTCTTGTGATTTATTAGTTGCTGTCAATTGCCCAGCCATTCTGGCCCTTTGTTCAACGGTGGGTCTCAGTGTCCTCATTCCACTTGCCAGGGAGTTTTCCCAGTTTCTTACTAACCTGCCTCATTACTATGCACCAAGTTTGTTACAGGCATTAATTTGCTTAATAACTGCAACAATCCTGGCAGACAGGTACCATCGTCATTTTCCCCATGTTACAGATAAAGAAATTGAGATAAAGAGATGTCAGCCCAAGGCTACCCATTAACAAGTGGCGATGCTGGGAGGTACCCCCAGCAGCCCGGGCTCACCCTCTGAGCTGCTGGGCATCCTACTTTCTCTGATTAAATAAAAGAAAGGTGGGTTACCACATCCATCCTCATTCATCCCAGTTTTACTAGTGGCAGAAACAGAGGCTAGAGGGTCTGGAAATGCAGGACTTCTGCAGAAGGAGATGCCCAACTTCTTCCTTCAGGCTTCGAACTTGCAAGAACAGAACAAAGAACTCAGCTGCTGACTTTCCGCCGTGTGCACTTCACCACTCATCCTCCTCTCCATGTAAACACATGTGCATACTTTTCTGACCCATTTGAGAGTGTGTTACAGACACAGCGCCCCTTTTCCTGTCAATACTTTAGCGGGAATTTTCTAAGAATAAGGGAATTCATTTGATGTGACCACAGTATAATTCAAACTCAAAGAATTAACGCTGATTCAATACTATTATATAATCTGAAGATTTTGTTCTAATTTTACCAGTTGCCCCTATAATGTCCTCTGTAGCAATCACCCCTCCCAGAGTCAGAGTCCATTTGAGGATCAGACACTTTCTGTTCTCATGAGGTTTGATGAGATCACCAGGTAGTGAATATAGATGGAAAAAGAAGGTTTAAGGGCTGAGCCCTGGTCAAGGAAGCGTTGAGAATTTGGGAGGAACTTGAGAACATGGTGAAGAAAGAGCAACTGGTTAGGTGGGAGGGGTGGGGGAGAAAGCAGGAAAAATGTTCCTGGAATTGGGTTTCCAGGGCCCCTGTGATCTGCGCTGTGGGTGCCAGGACTGGGACATGTCTCCTGCCCACCCGACCTGTGTCCATTAGCTTTTGCTGGGTGACAAACTACCCTAGAGCTTAGTGGCTTAAAACAGCTATTTGTTTAGTTCACAATTCTGCAACCCTGCGATTGGGGTTGGGCTCAGCTGGGTGGCTCTTCTGTCATTCTCTGAGCTCACTCACTCACATATCTCTAGTTCCCCAGTGGGTCAGCTGGGGCTGGTTTATCTTGTTGTTTTTTTAATTTTTAAAATTGTGTTTGTTCGTTCTTGTTTATTCTGTTATAACTGTCCCAATTTTTCACCCTTTGCCTTCCCCCATCCTGCCCATCCCCCCACTCCCACAGTGCATCATCAAGCCATTGTCCATGTCCATGGGCCACTCATACATGTTCTTTAACTACTCCCTTCCCCTTCTTTCCACCACCCCCTGCTTCCCCATTTCCTCTGGCAGCTGTCAGTCTGTTCCCTGTTTCCATGTCTCTGGTTCTGTTTCACTCATTAGTTTATTTTGTTCACTAGATTCCTCTCATAAGTGAGATCATACAGTATTTGTCTTTGACTGACTGGCTTATTTCACTTAGCAAAATAGTCTAGCTGGGGCTGGGTTAGTGACGTCAGTGGGGATTGTTGTCTCTCTTACATGGGGTGTCTTGTCCTCTGACAGTCCCATGCTTGTTCTCATGGTAGCCAGGAAAGAGAGAGGGAGAGAGAGAGAGAGAAAAGCTATCATGTTGTTTGAGGTCTAGGCTTGAATGTGGCCCAGCACTGCTTCTGCTACATTGTGATAACCAAAGCATAGTTTTAAGGCCAACCTAGATCCATAGGGAAGGGGAAATGAACTCCATTTCTTAATGGGTGTTGCTGCAAAGTGATCTGCATGGATCCACAGGGTTGAAGGACTGTGGCCATTGTTGCAATCCACCACACCACTGTAACCTGGCCCTTTTCTGTGCACAGGTGAACTCCTCCCTGCTGAGCTCAGACTGCAATGAGCGCTGCTCCTGTTCCTCAAGCACCGGCCTGACATGCCAGGCAGTGGGCTGCCCTCTAGGTCGTGTATGCGAGGTCGAGGCTGGGACCCGGGACTGCTGGGTCCCCGCTGGTCTCTGTTCCCTCTCTAGGAACACCAGTCTCACCACCTTCGATGGGGTCCACAGTGCCGTCAGCATCCCTGGTATCTACGAGCTCTCTTTCCGCTGCCCAGGAATACAGAACATCCCCTGGTACCGTGTGCTTGCTGATGTCCAGTTCTGCCATGGCAAAGTTGAAACTGTGAAGCAGGCTCACGTCTTCTTCCAGGGTGGGCTGGTGACTCTGACCCCAAACAGGGGCATATGGGTAAGCCTGAGCACGGGGCATGTCTTACCTGGGCTTTGTCTTCCTATTGCAGTGTCCCTCCATTCCTGGCTGCCCATCTGTCTTCCTATCTCTTTCCTTTATCCAGATCTCTGTAGTTTGGTCACTAAATTTGTATTTGTCTCAATATTTCAAATGTATTCCCTCTGTTGTGGCTGAGTTTTTGAGGAGCAAAAACACACTCAAGTAGCTTACTAGTTTTGATGTCAGTGTTAATCAAGACTCTTCATTGCAAGTGATGGAAAACCAGATGCAAATTGCCTTGAGAAAAATGAATTCATTGGCCCACATAACTAGTAAATGCAGGGAGAGAGCCTAAGAAGTGGCTGGATCCAGGTGCCCTGTCAGTACTGTCTGAATTTGTACCTTCATCTTTTAGACTTGCTGTTTTACAAATCAGCTCCATTCTCTGACACTCTACAACATTCCCACAACACAGGATTCTCCTCATTTTACACAGAGGGGAACCTAGGGCCCAAGGAGGTGAAGTCATTTGCTCAAGTCACTCAGGGAATACCTGGGAGATCTGGGCTTGAACCCACCAGCACCCATGCTCCTAACCACTTTGATGGGAATGGGCACTAGTGGCAACTGTGTGGGTACAAGGGACCCACCAAGGGACCCACCAAGGGACCAAGGTGGATTCCAAGTACAGTGCTAAGTGGGAACTTCCTCTGGAAACTGTCAATTGCAGGCCACTGGATCCTTCCCTCAACTGTCCTTCCACTTTCTCTTAAAGGCCCCTCAGGCCTACTGTTTGCATCATGACTCCATTCCAGCCCCAGTGCCCCTCCGTTCTGCCCCTTGAATTCCTGTTACTTACAACTGCCTTTTATTTGCCAAACCCCCAATTTGTTCTCATCACCTCAATTCCAAATTTCTGAGAGAGGGAATCTGTCTGGCCTAAGGAAGAGATGACACTGACTCATAGTCTCATCACTCACAGCTTGTGTGCAAGAGCCCAAGACCCAAACACAGATGTCAGGCCACACTAAAGTTCCCAGATGAGCACGTCTCTATTTCCAAGATCTGTTTATTGATTGTAGACACATCCACTGGTGTCTTCTGGGTCCAGTGGGGAGAGATAGCCAATGCTCCTCACACCCCTCCCTCCGTGGATGGTCCACATCCTTCCACCAAGCGCAGCAATGGTCCGACACTCAGCCCTGGTGGAAGCAGGGCCTGGAGTTCTGTCTTTAGTGTGCTCTAGACCAATCACTCCTTTTCTCTGGCCATCTGCTTAATTGATAATTCAGTTAACAGACAGCTCCTCTGTTAAGAAATGATTCTCTACACAGCCAGTAGAGGTTCTAAGATTGTAATTAAGGATCAGGTCATTCTGCTGTTTAAAACTCTACAATGGCTTCCCCAGAACAGCGTTCCAAAACTGAAGCAAACTCCCTTCTGTGGCCTACAAGCCTCGTGTGATCAACTGCTTGTCCAACCTCGTCTCCCACTACTCCCTCGCTCATTATGCTAATAACAGGACAAACTGGCCTTTATGCTATTTGTGCAGCAGACCAAGCTTGTTCCTACCTCAGGGCCTTCACATTGGCTGTTCCCACTACAGCAGCACACTTCTCCCAGCTCCTCTCGGAGCTGGCTCCTTCTCATCCTGCTGGTCTCAGTCGGTTCCCGCACTGCCTCTACAGAGAGGCCTTTCCTGACCACCTGCAATGCTCTCCTTCTTCGTCCCAGTCTCGATGCTGTTATTCTCTCTCTTTTTTTCCCTTCAAGGCTCTTATCACTATCTGAAGTTATCCGTTATTTCTTTGTTTGTGTTTGTTGCCTTCCTTCATCACTAGAATATGGTCCTCTGGTGAGCATGGGTCCTATCCATCTCAGTCATTACTTTGTCCCCAGTACCCAGATCAGGGCCTGGAACCTCACAGGTACACAGGAAAAGTTTGGTTTTTTGAATACATTCAGCCCTGTTCCCTCTGCACCGTCCATGTGCTGGGTAACACAGATGACTCAGACCCAGTCCTCAGACTTGCAAAGCTTGCACCCTGGTTAAACTTTCTATTCACCTCCAGCTCTCCCTCACTGCATCCATCCCTACTCCTTCTCTTCCCCCTCTGGCCGTGTATTTTCTCATCTCTCTCTTCATTGTTTCCTTTCTCTCTCCCTCCCTCCCTTCTCTGCATTCCTTCCTTCCTTCCTCTCTTCCACCATCAGTGCATTTATCCATCCGCCCTTCTTTGCAGATCCCTTTACTTATCTTTTCTGTCTACCTTGCTCTTCAGTCATCTGGCAGAGGAAGACTTAGATATCAGAGCATTTAGAAAAAAAAATAACTATTCTTTCAAACAAGGTTCCCTAAGGAGTTTAACTTGAGAAGGATTAACTCATTAATGAAAACAAACAACAGTTATTTAAAAGAAAAAACTCACAAGGTACCAAATTAACTGAGTCCACAGCCTATGACAGAGAAACAGTAATTTTCTCACATGATCATTATGCTTGCTAGGTCACTTGGCTTCAGACATCAATATCGAAAAAAAAAAAAAATAAGGATGACGTTGTTTTTGTTAGGGAACCAGTAACTTAGACAACATGCTCAAGGGTTCTTTGGCTTTGAAAACTAGAACCACACAGGATGACACTGGGATTTGATTGATTGTCTATCTGGTACACAGTACCCACTCGTCCTCAGCCTCCTCTGGAATGTTTTGTGTGTGCCCATTTATTCACTGATCCCTCTCTCCTTTCATCCACTCTGTCTCGTCTTCTACTCATCCTTCCAAATCTCCAAATAGTTTATGTATCCATCTCTCCATCCCTCCAGGTTTTCATCTCTTTCAGCATCTGCCTCTCTGCTTTTGCTCCTTGAACTTGTTATCTTGCTTGGGGTCTCCATCCTGGTAACACCATGGCTCTTCTATGGCCCGAGTCTCACCTGTGTGCCCCACCCCGCCCCACACCAGGTGAATGGCCTCCGAGTGGATCTCCCAGCTGAAGTGTTGACATCTGTGTCTGTGAGTCGGAATCGTGATGGCACCCTGCTCGTTCAGCAGAAGGCAGGGGTCCGGGTGCAGCTGGGCAGCAATGGGCAGCTGGTCGTGATGGTCGGCAGTGACCATGCTGGGATACTGTGTGGCGCCTGCGGAAACTTTGACGGGAACAAGAGCAATGATGGGCATGACTCCCAGGGGAATACAGCAGTGGAACAGTGGCGAGCGCAGGACTTCTCCCCATGGTGAGGACGTAGTGTGGAGGCCCTGGGTGCTCATGGGAAGGAGGCACTTGGGGTGGGTGCTCAGTCTGTTAGCAGAAGTGCTAAGTGTCTGTCTCTTGCAGTCATAACTGATCAGCCATCCACCAGAAAAGAGGATTTCAGGACCTGATCCCCCTGGAGGTTGCAGTAACTGAAGGATGCACTGTGTCACTGTGTGTCCCTTCCCTGCTGTCCTCCTCTGCTGAGCCACTGGGGCTGACTGTGGGAGCATTAAATAAATATCTTAAGCTAAGCTGCATGCCCGTGTGTCTTATCCCTGACTTTCCTGCCCTCACAGTAGGGGTCAGATGCCTGGGGAATCTGGCACATGGTGAATATTTATTGGGGGCTGAGAGGATGGATGGATGGATGGATGGATGGATGGAGACATGGATGCATGGATTGGGACACGGATGAGTGAGAAAATGGGGAGATAGAGAAATATATGGTTAGAAGAATGGGTGGATAAAAAGATGAATGATTAGATGGAGAGGGGAAGAGAAAGTGGCAAGACAGATCACCAGATTCTAGCTTTACCATTTGTAACCCTAGCAAGTTCATTTCTCTTTCTCTCAGTTTCCTCACATGTCTTAGTTCATTCAGGCAGCTATAACAAAATACCATGGAATTGGGGGGAGGGGAGGCTTATAAACAACAGGAATTTATTTCTCAGAGCTCTGGAGGCTGGGGAGTCGAGATCAAGTCACCGGCAGATTCAGTGTCTGCCTAGAGCCTGCTTCCTGGTTCTCCGATGGCTGTCTTCTCCTGTGTCCTCACATGCAGGAGGGCAAGGGAATTTTCTGGGCTCTGTTTTACAAAGGCCCTAATCTTGTTCATGAAGGTGCCACCCTAATAACCTAACTACCTCCCAAAGGCCTCATTTCCAAATACCTTCTTACTGGGGACTGGGCTCCCACGTAAGAATTTTGAATTGTATCCAAAGGCTATTATTTCTGAGTCCTTTCAGTGGACAGAAGTAGCAAACATACACATATAAATACAAGTCCGGGAGTTCTTGCTGATCCCTCTAGTTCCAGCCCAGTACTGCAGTGTTATTGGCCGCCCCATTTTCATAGCTGCATCTCCTTTGATAACAGCAAGAGACTTGGCTCTCAACATCCTCAACACATTTTTGTCTTTTTCTCGACCCTCCAATCCATGGAGAGCATTTCAGAACTGCTAATCCATGCCGCTATGGAAAAACAAGCCCCTTAGGTAGAGTGCAATATTCGTTTGCCATTCTTTTCATCTTTAGACTACGGGTACACAGTACATCAAAGTTCTGTGTTCGAAAGTTACTTGGGTTAGTTCCTTTTTTCCCTTCAGTGTGGTTTATTATTCATTTGAAATATAACTCGATAATTTATAAACACAGAGCTACTTTACTTCGTTCAAGATTTTTGTTTTTTTATAGCTTATTTTAGTTCCTTGTTAAAGATGCAACTAGAATTAAAAAAAAAATAGAATTTTGAGGGAACGCAAACAGTCAATAGCTTTGTATTTAAACTAGTACCTATCACACAGAGTTGGAGTGAGGGTTTAGTATGTTCATCCAATCCACTAGGCAACAACTGAAGTTTCCCTTCCCTCCCAGACCAGTCCCCACCCTTCCCATGATGGCCTTCCAACCTCAGTGAGTAGCACTACTCAGTCTAGTAGCTAGAAAATGGGCAATTATTCTTGATTTCTCCCTTCCCCTTGCCCTCCACTCAGTCCATCAACCAATCCTGCTGGATTATATCAGTACACCTGAAACCTGCCTGTCTTTCTGATCATGCCCTCTGTCACCACCGTCATCACCGTCACCACCAGCTGCAGCCACCATCCTGACTCATGGGGACAGCACCTGTAGCCTACCATCTGCTCGTCCCTGCCTGCATTCCATTCTCACAGCCACTGGAGGACTCTTCTTAACACATAAATAGAACCATTTACTATAAATTCTTACAATAAAATCAACTTCCTTTACCTTGTCCTAATATACCCCTGCCAATCTCCACTGACTCACCTCCTATCACTGTCCTCCTTGTCAATTATGATTTGGGACCCTGATCTTTTAGTGTATTGAACATGCCTAATTTTCTCACTTCAATAATTTCCCAGTTTCCCTTTGCAATATGCTGTTCCTTTCACTCATCACAGGATTAGCTGCTTCTCCTTCAAATGTCAGCTTCTTACTACGTAGAGAGGCCTTCCATGACCACCTCACTTGAAGTAGATTGCCTCCCATTACCCACGGTCCCAAACACTGGCTTCCTTCCTTCCTTTACTTTAAATTTACTTTTATTTGACTTTCTGACCAATTAAAAGTAACTCAAGGGCAGAGACTCTCTCATTCACCACTTTATCCCCCGCAGCTAGCATATAGTAGGTGCCCAGGACATATTTATTGAATTAATAAGTGACCAACAACAAACATGGAGGAAAGATTTACAACACACCTAATAAAGGATTATTCTCTACAATATGCAGAGAGGTCCTTCAGCCCTGGCTGGTGTGGCTCAGTGGATTGAGCACCGCCTGTGAACCAAATGGTTGTCGGTTTGATTCTCGGGCATGCCTTGGTTGAGGACAAGGTACCCAGTAGGGGGCACTCTAGAGGCAACCACACATTGATGTTTCTCTCCCTTTATCCGTGCCGTCTCTTCCCCTCTCTAGAAATAAATAAATAAAATCTTTTTTTAAAGAGTTCCTTCAAGTCAATAAGAAAAACACAACAATTAGAAAACAAAACCCAATTAGAAAAAAATGGTTCCATTTATAAACAAGCAAGTAACAGAAAAAGAAATCTAAACATGTTGAATGCATTTAATATGCCTGGTTTTGCTGGGTTCACAACAACTCTGCAAAATGAGTATGGATATAAATAAATAGCCAGAGTGAGGTTAAATAACTTGCCCAAGGGCAAAGAGTGGATAATGATGGAGCCCGGATTTGAATCCACGTATTTCACTGAACATAGTCCTTACCAGTGATTCTTGCTGTTGAGTCTCACCCACACTCAATTTCCTTTCAAGAAAAATAATTGAGAAATCCTAAAAGTAGACAAGAATAAGCAACAATCCAACAGAAAAGTGGACAAAGGATCTAAACAGCTCATAGAAAAAAATAGAGTCCTTAAAGATGAGAAATGTTCAATCTTGCCCATATTAAGAGAAATGCAACTTAAATTATCTCGAGACACCACTTCTCACCTATCAGATAGGCAAAAACACAAAAACTCAACATTATTTTTATTGAGAAGGGTATGGGGGAAAGAATACCTTCATGTTGCCAGTGAGAATGCAAAGTGTCTATTAGGTTCAGTGCAGGGAAATTTGGCAGAATCTGGCAAAATGACAGATGCATTTTTCTCTTGACCCAGCACTCTCATCACTAAGACTCAGACCCAAAGATAGAATGGCAATAAAAGGATGTACGCCCAAGGATGTTCTTTGTATCGCTCTTTATCATGGAAAAAGACGGAAACAACTCAGATGTCCATCAGTGGGGGATTGGTTGGGTAAACTACACTTCATCTACATGATGGACAGCTACGCAGATGAACGAAAAATATAAAAGATCTCTAGACACACTATTCTGGAGTCATCTCCAGGATGTATTGTGAGGTAAAGAAAGCAAGGTTAGAACAGCGTACTTAATAGAAGGGACATGAGAGAAGGAGCAAGGGGGCTCTTGGAGTCCTGGAGATGTCCTGTTTGTTGACCTGGGTGGTGGTCATGTGAGCCGTCTCCTTTGTGATAGTTCACAGAGCTGCACAGTTACATGCACTTTTCTGTAAGCATGTTGTACTTCAAAAAAAAACAGTTTTAAAATCAATAAATTTTTATCTCATTATAATCTCTGAAGATTCTTGACCAAAGAAATGGATGTGTGTGTGTATGTGTTATGTGTGTGTTATGTGTGTGGGAGAGGGACAAAACAAACAAAGAACAGGAACGTGTTAGGACCCTGATTTCAACAAGCAGCAATTTTTTAAAATCACATTTTTAGATCATTCAGGAAATATGAATACAGACACTACTAGATTATCAAAAGGATTTCTTGCTAATTTTGTTAGATGTAATAGTGTATGAAAATGTTTTCTTCTTTTTTTAAGAGATGCATACTTAAGTATATGGGGTAAACAGGCAAAAGGTTGGGATTTGCTCTAGGACACCATAACCAGAACAAGGTGGTGCGATATGCAAGGCTGACCAATTGCTGATAATTGCTGGGGTTGTGCGACACATAAGTGGAGGTTTCTGATATTCTCTACTTTCATGTGGGATTTTAAATTTCATTTAAAATATTTTTAATTAGCCCTGGCTGGTGTGGCTCAGTGGATTGAATGCCAGCCTGTGAACTAAAAAGTCACTGGTTTGATTCCCAGTCAGGGCACATGCCTGGGTTGCAGGCCAGGTCCCCAGCATGCAAGAGACAACCGCACATTGATGTTCCTCTCCCTCTTTCTCCCTCCCTTCCCTCCTCTCTAAAAACAAATTAATTAATAAAATTTATTTATTTATTTATTTTTATTTTTAATCATTTTTCAAATACAGTTTTCTCCTTTTTACTCCCAATCCATTCCCCCCTCCCACCCCTCCCCACTTCCCTCCCATTACCACCCTCCCCTTAGTTTATGACCATGTGTCCTTTAAGTTTGTTCCTGTGAACCCTTCCCACTGTCCCCTTAAATTCCCTCTACTCTCCCCTGTGGCCACTGTCAGCCTGTCCTCTATTTCAGTGTCTTTGGTTACATTTTGTTTGTTTCTTTGTTTTGTTATTTAGGTTCCTGTTAAAGGTGAGATCATATGGTATTTGTCTTTCACTGCCTGGCTTGTTTCGCTTAGCATAATGTTTTCCAGCTCCATCCACGCTGTTGCGTAGGGTAGGAGCTCCTTCTTTCTTTCTGCTGCATAGAATTCCATTGTGTAAATGTACCATAGTTTTTTGATCCATTCATTTACTGATGGGCATCTTGGTTGCTTCCAACATCTAGCTATTGTAAATTGTGCTGCTATGAACATTGGGATGCATAGGTTCTTTTGAACTGGTGTTTTAGTATTGTTAGGATAGAGTTCCAGCAGTGGAATTGCAGGGTCAAAAGGCAGATCCATTTTTAGTTTTTTGAGAAAGTTCCATACTGCTTTCCATAGTGGTTGTACCAGTCTGCAGTCCCACCAGCAGTGCACTAGGGATCCCTTTTCTCCACAACCTCTCCAACACTTGTTGTTTGTTGCTTTGTTTATGATGGCCATTCTGTCTGGTGTG